GACAATCTAAACGAAAAGATTCGAATAGTTTGTCTTTGATTTTTTTAAAAATTTTCATACATATTGGTTGTTTAAACGTGCTTGTTTCAATTTATGCAATTCTTCTGCGATTAGTTTTCGCCGGTCGTACAATCTATTCGATGTTGCAATGGAATTTGACGCGTGAATGATAACTTTATTCGACAAGTCCAATCTATCAGATAGGAAAATTCGATTTATGAAACATTTCAAAATGAACTCAGCCGACTTCGCTTCGTTGCTTTGATTCATTGATGAGACGGTTGTTTTTGACTTGGCAAAAACACGACGTCGTTCTTCGGCATTGTTATCATCAAGTAATACGCTGCTCTTTCTGAGCGATTGTATATTCAGCGAATGAGTTTTGAATCGGTCGTCTAATTGCTTGTTATCTAAACAGAGTTTCGCTTGCTTAAGCAACGTATTCTTCGATTTGGGTAATTTCGTCGGCAGTATTTTCGTCTTCATGATCTCTTCAGATGATCCATCAGTTGTCTTCGAAGGTGAACTTTCTTGATTTGGAACTGAAAGTTTCTTTTGCAGTTCATATTGCCGGTAACATTTTTGTATACGACGAGCGTAGATACTGGCGAGTAAATTGCCACGTTGTCCTGCATATTTACTGACTAAATAGTCCGCGCATGCTTGATGACCACGTACCCGAGCGAGATCATATGGAGTTAGATAATTTCCCTAGATAATTCGAGAGAAAATATTTGATTTGTGATGCGATGGGTTCGGCTAGTTTTCTCATATTTCTTATTTCCTTAATTTGATGAGCACATCTTCGCTCATATGATTCTTTACTTTGTCTATGTTGAGTGCATATCTATTCACTGAAACGAGAAGAACCTTTTTACATTAACTGCCTTGTCTACTTCAATTTCTCAACTAGAAAAAATCCATTTTGGAAATATCAAGGAAATGCTATCTCAAATCTGTCAGATTAGATCTCATCATGTTGTCTCTTCGATAATTATATTTTCTTACCAGCAACCTGCACTATTTTCCTCCTAGAATTACACTAATATTATATATAACTTTTGAAACTGATAAGCATCTTTTCCTTTCAGCATATCAAGGTTACAATGTTCCTTGATAGGCGACTTACCGCGTTTGTTCTTATGAACGTATTACTATTTGCACCGCATTGAATCAAAACTTCGCAGGTGTCGATGTCGCCAAGACTAGCTGCCAGGTGAAGTGGCGTTCGACGTTCATCGTTTTGAACAGCGATTTTATATGGATACAGTTTGAAGATATATCGAATAATCTCTAAACGAAATTATAGTACAACTGAGATTTGTTCGTTTTTCGGTTTGATTTTACCATAAATTTTTGTTGATTCATCAGTTGCTTTGCGAGCTTTGTTCGTTACAAGTAAATTGATAGCTTCATGTATTGGATAATCACCACGTTTATTCTTTATCCATATATTTGCATGAGCTTCGAGTAAGTGTTTCAAACAAACAAGATTTCCTTTTGATACTGCACAATGGCTAGGTCTAAATAACCGTCAACTTCGAAATTGATCTCTATAAACGCTCATACATACGTTCGTCCACGGTTATCCTGATGATCACAATTAGCTTTCAAATCAAGTAGTAATTTACAGGCTTTCGGATGATCCAATGTGATTGCATAGAACAATGCAGTACAACCATTGACATCTTCTCCTGAATACAAAATATTATTCAAATATCGTTTGATTCATATATCAAACCTTCTATGGGACAACCGCATTGTTCGACTAACATTCGAATACACGATGTATGACCACGCGTCGCTGCACAATGCAATGCTAGAAGGAAATGAACATTCAACAGGATGGAAACTGGATGAAATAGTTCATACCAGTTAGAGAATCTTTATCGACATGCAATTGGTTGGCACCGTATTTATAAAGCAGACGTAAAGCATCGCAAGCGTCTGAAAAACGTAGCCGAGAAATAAAAGAAAAATAGCGTGGAACATCTATTATTAATTCGAACAGCGTCTAAACTTCCGATGAAGATTATTTTGGAAGCCTGGATACTAAAAATAGCTTTCTTTCGCGTAAAGAAAGTTTAATTATCATGCATTGATAAGTATCTCAATTTGTCAAAGAATAAAAGTCAACGATTTCGATCTGTTACACTGCCTCACCTGCACTAGCAGCCCACATCAACGGAGTGCGATTCTGTCCATCTGTACAATCGATATCCACCTTCCGATCAATAAATATTTGTAAAATTTCCAGAGCTAATGAAAATAAAACGTGAAAATCTTCGTGAACATGTTACTTTTACCCTTTGCTGAATCAATCTTTAAATCGTCATGAACCGATTTACCGCATAGTTGAGATGCATAGTGAATAGGAAAAGCTCGATGAATATCCGCAGTATGAATCGGTGCTTTGTATTCCAGAAGAATGTCAAACAAATGAAGATGTCCACAAACTGGTCAAATTTATCAAATTCGAATAACGAGCAAAAAATTGTTTTACCTGTAACCCAATGGATTAATGAATGAGATTCATTATCAACAAGTTTCACATTTGCACCTCGTTCACATAAAAATTCCACCATGCTTTCATTTCCGTTCATGCACGCTAAATGAAGTGCGGAACAGCCTTCATGATCTTGCAAATCGAGTATTCGACTTTTGACTTCATCATTTTCCAGTAAAAGACGAGCACAACTCGTATCTTTGTTTTCGCTACAATAGTGTAACGCCGATCGTCCTTGTCCATCCACTTGAAGTATATCGCACTAAACGATTGACTTTGAAAATGAAACACATCTTGAAGTTGTCTTACGTTTTCGGCAATGAGAACTTTCACTCGGTCGGGTTTGTTTTTTTCACAAGCATCGAACAATGGTTCAGGCATTTCTGAATATGATGATGTTCAACGGATAGAGTTAAGCGAGAAGCACATATACACGCAATTTTCTACTCACTTTCTTTTTACGGATATGAACGTAGAATATGAAAGATGAGGAGAGGAGAGGAGAACAGAACTTAGGTGTCATTTGGTTGCTACCATGTCAACAGAGAAAAAGGTGAAGAAAGAAAATAGATAGAAGATGAAGAAAAAGCAAGACGATTTTGAAGGCAACAGAAAAAAATGAAAGCTTATTAGACGGTTCATGATTATGTCGACACTTCTAGTCAAGTTAAAAATATTGATGCACTTCATTACATATTACAGATGATAGTGTATAGAAAAAGTTCTTCATTGGAAACTCGAATCTTCTTCAAGTGGTATTTGATATGAAATAACTGTTAATAGTCTAAAATAGCACATAACTGCTGTTTTATACGAGGCGTACTTTTGATTCTTACGCTATCTAATTTAATTCTGCTTTGATGTCAATCAAATTTAATTCAAGAGCATTTTGATATTCTTGCAATGTGAGATAATAATATGCATATATCAATCAAGCTGAAATCGTTAGGAAATTCTTCAAAGACTTTTCCATGATTAATAAACAGGAAGAGCCGGATCAGTGACTCGCAGTTATCATGATTCGATGATGTAGAAAATAGTTCATTTTTGCACTTTGTATGTTACTTTCAAATAGAAAATATTCAAGTACTGTTTTTCATATGAATGAAATATAAATCTAGCTGATGAGTATCAATAAATCATTGAAACAAAGAATAGATTGAAATTCTCAACTGAGCAATAACTTATCGGTGGTCGATGTTTTGTTGATTGATTGTTTAAGTCACACCGACATGTAACTTGTTGCCATTCAGATCAAAAACAGATGAAGAGCACTATTTCAATTATTATGTCACATTTATTCAAGAATTTGAAAAACATTACAAAACATTCTATGTCGAGTATAGAAAAACAACATCGACGAGACTAGAAAAGCTTTCTTCACTATTGATAACTCCGTTTAGAATGATTACGTCGAGGTTCTACATCGAACAAGTCATCTCTTAATTTACGTATTTTGTGTTTGAGATGTTTGACTTCCTCATGAGAATCGATTTTCAATCCTAGAAGAAAATTTCCATGTGATTCGATTCGTCAAATATGAAGATCAATCTTACGTTTGATTTTTCTTTTTAAACTTTCATTTTCTTTCAACAATTCGCCAATATACAATTCATCCTGATCAATCTGCTTTTCATTACATTTCGCACGTTTGATTTCAAGTTGAATTCCATCGATATCAAACAGATGGGTTTGAAGAAGTATTTGATCAACTATATCATAATCGTTGAAATGAATGTACGCTTGACAAGAATTCGATACAAATCGAATGTCTATGATATGTTTTTCATATTGATGAAAACAATCGCGAATGGTTCTACTGTTCCATTCTATTGCTAGACTAAGACTGATGGGTTTGATGAATACAATAGGAGAATCCATGTATGCTCGATCGATGCAGCCGTAGCGGATGCGACGAATGAAGATTTCTTGTTTGTTGATCGTACATCGGCGATGTTTTGCGAGAACACGATCGATCGATTCGATATCCGAAAATAAAATGATTGCAGATTTACGAGATAATGTTTCGATGTACTGAATGGTTCCGAAAGGATTAAAAAATGTTTGTAAATCTTCCGAATTGATACGACCGTCGAGATTGGTGAGGAAGACTTTAAAACGATCATCACCAATGTTGGAAGTTACGAGCGATTTCATGTTGGATATATTCGATTACTAAAAAAATGAAGAGTTCGAACAGTGTTTCGTATCGTACCTCTAACCGCCAGAAATCAGCATAGAGGTCTCGAAGCGAACTGCGTAGAAAAACTTTGACATAATCTCCTCAAGTATTTTGTAGTTTTTTTTACAATTTGGTTAGTTTTGTTGTCGAAATATGCGTTGCAAAAGTTCTGTTTTTTATAGATGACGCTTTTCATCCACATCTTTTGAACGAAAGAGTAAGTTCATTGTTATCTACACCAATAGAGACTTCTTATTGAGATCCATTCAGTGATCAACTATGTATTTTTCTTTCCGTTCTTCTTTTTCGAACATGCCCGCTGAGCAAGCTGAACTAGTTCAAAGCTACATAAATACTCGAGAGTATTTAACAATTAAGATCTACGATTGTTATTTATTAATTCATCGAAATATTATTCAAAATTCTCACAATCGTGAATTAGGTTTAGGTAAATCGTTTCGACAACTCTTCATGTATTTCCTTTGTTTGTTCAGAATTACCACCTGCAATTGTCAAACGAATCTTCGGTTCGAATCCGTTGTCAGTTATTGATGTTACAACAACGCGTCATGTTGATCCATCACTGTACGATATAATCATATTTGCGAATAAATCAGCTGTTTATACACGAACGAAACTAACAGTGGAAAAGACGCGCGGATTTAAGAAACTACCGTATTATGTTCATGAAGATTTAGAATTATTGAAGTGTTGTGGCATGTCACGAGAAGAAATCGAGTTTTTCCGACAGAAATTAGATGTTTATGGCTTGAAAAACAAGATTGTTTCGAATAAGACCGATGCAATCGTGCAGAAAATTATTGATTATAGTGACATGTCGACGAGATTGAAGTGAGGAATACGACGTGGATGCGATTTAGTATGAAAAGTTTCGGTTTTTAGTTGTCGATTAGTATCAAAGAAATGGAAAGCGTTGGTCGACCAGTCATCAGCGGTAAAATATTATATTAGTCAAACGAAAGTCATACACTCTGTTTTGCTCTAGTGGAATCATGTTCGTTTGACAAAATCATCTCGATATATCGACCGAGCGTTGAGTTACTTTCAAAAGATTGATATTCATGAATTGGTAAGAAAATCGATGATATAATAATTGAAATCATATTTGTTAAAAACCCGTAGGATCTTTCTCAATCGTCAAATCAATCTCTAAACTGTGATATCAATAGCAAATTCTCGTTATATTCTCTCCGAACACTTTGTATATCTACTGATCATTCACATGAATTATTAACGTTATTATTTAGTATGGCTCCTTTTGTACAGTATATTAAACTTTTGCAAACAGTTCGTTCTTCGTTAACGATCCCGACAGATCGGTTCGACGAACAAATTCATGCTATGATATGTTTATGTCAAACTCATTTGAAATGTTTACAGAAATTACATATTCAACTTCGATCTGCATCAGATCAAGTATGAACCATTAAAGAGAAAGAAATCTTTTCACGTTTTTTTATCCATAGATATTCCTTCAATCATCAATCGTTAGCTCATTACCAATTACGTATGAAGTCATTACTTAGTGTATTCAAAATAATATTCCAGTGAAATTGTTTTCGAGTTATTTACAATAAAATTTGATGAATTTACATATCGTTTTTCTCTTCTGTGTTATTTTTGCATAAGACATGTGCGAAGAAAGTTACTAGACCGTGAGCAACCAAAATTGTATGTATGATAATAGGGATCTATCATTCGTCAAATGTTGATATCAAGGTATGTAATAGATGACGCGACAGATATAATAAAGGTCGCAGAGACAATTACGAAGCAAAGTACCTCAGTAGAAATTCATTACTTCTGTATAGTTTTACTTATATTCTAAATGTCAATGATAGGCGATATTGATTCCATTGATATGTGTCCACGTGCTTCATATTTTGTCTTAACCTTTTTCGAACATGTGTTACTTATCATTACTCAGTAAATATTTGAAAGGAAAATACATGATTACGTGCGGTGTTAGACATAGAATTCTGGCTTTATTCGCGATACTTTTACAACAATACAGAAACTTCTATTTAGCCCAAGCAGGTGTTGCTCGACTTAAATAAGCGTCTGGATCAGCACCATCACCTTTAAGTCCATTTCGACCACGTTTAAAACTAGCCACTTGATTTTTAGCACCTGATGATGCTTCTCGGTCTCCAATAGCAATAGCATGAATATGCTTATTATTTTGAAAACTATCTGCAACACGTCCGCGTGACCAAGCAGCAAAACCAGCTTTACGCAAAGCAACAACCATAGTGTCGACTTTCTTCTTATCGTTATTAACAACAGATGTGCGAATGTCAATAGCACCACCGCCATCATGCGTGCCAGCACTTGCAGCAACGCTCGATGAGTACGAACCTTGACTTAACGAAAATTGAAAGCCACTCATTCCCATTTGTTCCATGTAAACTTCAGCGCGTAAGATCATATCGATGGTACGTTGATTCAATTTCACTCCTCGCCATGTTTTACGAGTATAATCAGCTTTAGGTGCAGTGTATTCGTACGAATCGGATTTTGATGTAGCACAATTGATGTATTCGGAAGATGCCCATTGATCTGTGCCAACACGACAAAAACCATTCTTTTTCTCTAAACAGTTCACTGTTGTGCCTTGATAGAGACTTTTCACAATTGTTCCCGACGCTGAAGGTGTTTTACGTACGTTCAACGTTGGATTTGCTTTCACTATACAACTGTGAATAGGTATGTATAGAACGGTAAATGAAAACGCTAGTATGGCGATCAATGAGTGCATATTTAACGACCAGCTAGTTATTGTTTTTGTATGTCGAATATTTATAATCAAATCTAAGCAGTAGATGAGAATGAGAAAACATCTGTTGTTTTTGTGTTAATTTATTAAAAAATATCAGATGCATTTTCACAGATAAAACTCACTGAAATTCTTTTTAATGTTCGATATAGTTTTAGACATTCATATTAGGTGATTTCGATGTGTCTGTTGATAATCGTGAATCAAGCCTTACTAGAGCTGAATGTTCTTCCTGAATATCCGTTGCATAAGTTGTTGAGGAAAATCTTCTCATCGACATTTTTTGGAATTGTTTTACTTTCGGTAATGCTCCTCGTAAAAGTTGACCGATGGAATCAAACGTCGGCCGATCGGTTGGATTTGTACTCCAGCAAGCTTTCATGATTTGATTATAATCGGGCATGACGATAGTTGCTGTATCTTCGAATGGGGTTAAACGGACGCCTTCGACAATCATTCGACTCACTTCAGCTTCATCTTTGATTTCTGCATAAGGTTGTTCGAGACGAACTTGTTCCCAAAGACAAACACCAAACGAGTAAACATCACAGGCTGGAGTGAATCGTGAGCTATCCGATGGATTCGAAAGGATTTCCGGTGCTGACCAACGAATCGATACGGGTAATGATGGATGACTTAATCGACATAAACAACGTTCGCTGTCACATGCCTGTCGTAACGGTTGAAGAATTGGCATGAGACCATAATCACAAACATGTACACGTAGATCAACACCAATCAATAAGTTTGATGATTTTAAATTTCGATGAAGAATTTTTGCTTGGTGTAAATATGCAAGCGCATCGGTTGTATTCACACACCAGGATAATCTCAGCGACCAATCGACTTTCGTTGGAAAGCGCCGAATAAAATCGATGATTGTACCATGTTCAGCAAATGATAGAAGTATGCGGGGATAAATATCAATATCAAAACAAATACCAATGACAGCGGTGAGATTCTTGTGACGAACGTGACTTAATAAGCCGATTTCATTCTCCAGATATGCTTTATCATTCTGAGAAAATTTCTCGGGATGAACACCGATACGTAATGTTTTCACTGCGACTAATTTATCGTTCCAACGCCCTTCACAAACTTCACCACCTAATTCACCAACACCTAATCTGTAAAAGAAAAAAAGATTGTCGTTGGAATGCACATTGCATCAACTTTTCTCATTTTACCGTTTAATCACTTTAAAATCTTGAGAAGATATCGTTGAATTTTCAAGAACAGGCACAATCGATCGACTTCGCGGCCGTCGGACCGTTGCATTTCGATGATTACTTTCTGGTAGACTGATTTTAAGTACCTGCGATGGTTCCAATGTATTGATATTCATATCCGCTAACAATTCCATCAGAAAATGCGATCAGTAATAGAAGCAAAAGCTACCGAATACTTACTAGTTGCTATAGCTCCATAAGTATTTCGTTCCGGATAATGTCGACGGCATTGGAAAAAGATCCAAATAGCTGTGCCAATAATGAAAAAGATAACAAAGAGAAGAACTAATAGAAGTTCTTTCGGGAATGCATTGCCAACTAAAATTCAAATGAAAATTGCTTTTTTCGATCGAAGGCAAAGCAACACAAATACCTCCACACACATTTGGACAACAACAACGATGAGTCAATGAAAATATCTACGTGCAATATCACTAGTGTATTTTACAATAAAAGTCTAATCCTTACTGGCATTTGCTTCTGGCCGTATTTAACGAATCTCAATTGTGCACGATGCACTCGTCGATTGCATTCGCATTCAACGTCTACCGTTTGATTTGCATAAGATCTAAACAGAAAGAAAAACCATTTGGACTTCCAGTACAATGGCATTTGCGTACTTTGATCCATAGTATCGAGTTGTCAACAATGTCGTTTGTGGTAGAACCATCGAATTCATACGAATAGCAACTGTGTAATATTCCGAATCATTCTGTAGTCGTACGATTCGTTTACAACCTAAGACATTATGACATTGTTCACCTTTCACTGTATGTGGATCTACGTTGATTGGAAAATTAAAAGTTTTACATGGATTGAAATAATAAGATGAATCATTCAGAGACACACTAGTAAAACAAATATTTACATGTGTAAACAATCGAACTATCAAAGAATGGATCTTACGTTAATAGTTGGTTTCGAATATCTCGTAAATCGATTCTTTTACTGAAATGATCCTTTGATGTATAGAAATGCCAAACACAATTCGTGGATGTTGAAGACCAGGTGTTAGGAATGATTAAATGAACACAAGACAAACACGATAATAGTACATATAATGTAAATAGCATAATCGTATGAATAATAAAATGAGAAGAGAAAAAAGACGTCTATTTAATTTGATTTCATGAAACGATTTTAAATAGAAATATAGTAAACGACGTCATCGACAGACTCTTTTTTTTTTCGTTCTTTTTTTGACATATTTGGTGAGGCAGGTGTGAGCGACTATAGGGGATTGCAAATGGGAAGGTTGTGTATATACTGTGTTAATGTATATACATCATGGCAGAGAAAAGGACGAAGAAGAGTTACTCGTCGATGAATCTTGCCTTTTCCTCCTTTTTTTCTCGCTGATTCTTTCATATCTCAATGTCTGCATAGATACTGTACATAACTATAGCCAGGGGCAAAAGGGTAGAAGAAGAAAAAGGAAGAAAAACCTCGTTGTGTTCTTCAAAGGAAAAAGAACTGCTTGAAAACGTCGAATTTGCTTTTGAAACACGTAGAAACCAATTAAAAATTTTACATGATTGATTAGTTCCAAAGAAATCTACTTACATTCATTCATTCTTTCTTCAAATGACTCCTAGCGACATCTATTACACCCTTACATTTCTTTATTATTTCACTGAAAATCAACGTCATTTTCTGGCGTATATTCATTGATATTAGTTTCGTCAATCTAAGTATTGATGAGATCGAGTCTAGAGTTCAATAAGCATTCATCATGGCATCGATTTGTCAATTGGTTGTTATATAAAATACCTATAATTGTTTATAAAAGATTCCTCTTCTTCTTCTCTCTTCTATTCGATCAAGATTATTATATGTGTAGTTTTTTTTGCAATTGAAACATCGTTATGAAGACAGCTCGATTCAACAATCATAAAAGAACAAATATGAAATAAAGTTTAAAAGCAATTAAAATTTTCAGATACAAATGAACTAATGGCTGATGTAAGCAAACTTGTTTCACTAGCCGATGACACAAAGGTCTTCTATTTCTCGTTGAATATCATCGTACCCTTACCTAGATCCATTCTCTTCGTTTAGACATATTCAATTTCGAACGATCTGAATAATAATAAGAATAATTCCATATCCATGCCGACTGAACTCGATGAGGCACTGAATGGTAATGATAATGACGATGATGATGATGATGATGATGACGATGATCAACAACAACCAGTTAAAACCAAAATCATCAAATGTAAAACCAATAATCAACAAGCACAAACATCTTCGTATAATATTTTAACAGCGAATGGTTCATCTTCAACAGCAATACGTTCTCATGATGTTTCAAATGAGCATACATCTATTAAAATAAATATTCGTCGTGTTTGTTCTCCGTCATCTAATGAACCAGTCCCTGTAAATCCATCGTCATCCAACCATCTTCCACAACGACCAATAGATTCAACTGAACAAACTCCATCGGCAACGAAAATCATCTCACGAAAGTTTTTCAATTCAAATGAACTCACCAATACAAAAACATCTCGTCGTCCCATAGCGACAAGACGCACATCGTTAATCGAAGTCGACTCTTCATCTATCTATGATCTTCCAAAAACACTTGTTAATAATCATACGACCGTCTACGATGAAAATTCTTTGAAAAATCAAATCATGAAAATGAATGGAAATAAACGAAAAGTTTTCAATGAGCAACAGGAGAAGAAACGAACGAAATTAACTACTCGAACAGTAAAACAGCAAGTGAATAACACTAGTACGTATCGAACATCTGACAAAACCGAAATTTCCTTCTCAATATTTTCTAGAGCCCTCGAATCCTCCCGTACAAGTCCGTTCATCTACTCGTTTGAAACAAAAATATAATCCCGCGAGTGATCATCAAGATTCTCCACCTGATAAACGTTCAAGCACCACAAAACGTCATTTAAGTACCGAATTGATTACTACTCAAACATCAGATCATTCAACGACAACGAGTGAAGACATCAAACCTGGTGAATACAAATATCTCCATTCATCACCAGCATCTTCGTCCGCTACGAAACAGTACACAACTAGTGAATGTCAAACAACAGATGATATCATCGAAGTCTCTCATCAATCGATTCAAACAAATCATTTAATCAAATCAGATAAATCCACTTACACAGATTTCATTGATCAACCTCTATGTGAAAATAGTACACAAACGATTCGTAAAGAAGAACAAGAAACTCAAACAACAGATCTTAATTGTCCTAATGACTCCCAAGTTTATCTTTATGATATGAAAAGCAGTCAAACACAATGTGATAGAATATCTGATACATGTTCACCACTCTCGTCGCCTCGGTCACCACCAGCTCATCATTTATATGATCAACAACAGCGACTCTCGTCACCTTATATCGATTTTTCGTTAACAAATAGTAATCATGATCGTTTACAGTTGTTTCAAACGCTGATTCATACCGAAGAACATCCGAATGGTGGTGCAAGTCTAATTCGAACGTATTATAATGAATTTTTACATTTATCAGACGAAAATGCAAGTTTATTTGTGAATTATTTTTTTAACATGGTGTATGGCGAAGTCAATCAACGTGCAAAATATTCCATTGGCGTTCTGCATGACGGAGCAAGATATCTACCTGATCTCGTGGATTATTTTAGCTTGTCATATCCGAAGATGATTGTCAAAACATCGAATTTAATCAATTCCAAAGAAGTTCTTACAACTACAATGGGAGAATATCGAAATCGTCTTGTTCAAACGTATTCGAATGGAACCTTTCGTTATGGACCATTGATGAGTATATCCTTAGTTGGAAAAGTAACGGGCAAAGAAGAATGTGGTAAGTAGAGAAGCAAGTCAACGTTTTGGAAAGGAAGTGTCGGTCTGTTTTCAGGTGATTATTTTCCTACTTTCATTGATAAATTGGAAGAAAATCCATTTTTACAATGTGTCATGCCATGGGGACCGTTTTCGTCGATAAAAATGAAATCTCGAACAGATTCGGATGACGGGCCAATTCTATGGGTTCGACCTGGTGAACAATATGTTCCAACAGCCGAACATAAAAGTTGTCATCCGAAAAAACGCATGGCGAATGAGTTACGCAATTTGACCTTTACCGGACGTGGGACTGATCCTCGCGAAGTACTAGTCGAAGATCGAACCAAGCCGCACAGTGATCATTGTGATGGTGATGGCGTCGAGACCACAGCTGCCGTTGGAATTTTGAAAGCTGTTCATTGTGGAATACCGTAAGTGATTGAAAGTGAAAAGAAATTGTATAGTCGAGTTTGTTTTGCTTTCTTTCAAGTGCCACGATCAATCGAATGGTGAAAGATGTCGTTTGTTTTCATGCGGAAGATTTCGAGAAAGTCGTCGATAAACTAAAAATTGATTTGTACGAACCACCGGCATCACAAGTAAGACATAATCAATAGAAGCGATTCCTCTACTCAGGAGAATATCTTCTAGTGTTTGCAATGGTGTGATGAAGGTAAATTAAACCAATTACGACGTGAAGGCATTCGTTATGTCCGTTTACCATTATACGATAATGTAATTTTCTTCAATAAAAATTTTGCTTTTGTTCATTTTGCTTTTCGTTAGGATATTTATTTTATTCCACGTAATGTCGTTCATCAGTTTCGGACATTATCAGCGGTAACATCCATCGCCTGGCATGTTCGACTGAAACATTATTATCCAACTGAATCGGCTGACGATGAATATGCTCCTCTCTATAGTCCTATATCTGATACATAGGGAAGAATGGTTTATTTCCAAAGCAAACTTTATTTTTACGACAGAAAAGCGAATTCTTACGAACAGTTTCTTATTTTATAAATCTCAATACAAAAAATTGTCTTTTTCACTTATGTAAATAAAAGATTCGTCTTTTCCTCCTTTCTTCTACTTCTTCTTCTTTGTGTTGAATTTGTTTTCTCTTTTGCGCAATTGTTTTTTCTAATTCGATTCGCTGCGTTCAACTGAGCAATAACTAGCGTTTATGATGCTCGTTTTCTCTTCTTCGTCTTTTTCTTTTTCTAAAATACGTGTCATTGATTTGTTCGTCTGCTTTGCAAAAAATCAACTATTTATCACTTTGTTTTCTACTCGTCTGACATTTGTCATTGACAAACGAGATTCACGATATCATGAGTATCAATAAAAACAGAGTTTTTTAATTTGTCTTATGACAAGTTTTCGTATGCAAATAATTTTTAGATTCGCAAGTCAACGAACAATGCCAAATGATGCACACAGATTTAATCTATTGCGGTAAGTTACAATCGACAGCACAGGATGTCGATTTTCAAGTCGAATTTTGTTTAGAATGGACATTGAAAGTGTCCTGAGACCATTCGACGAAGAACGGGAATATTTACGTAAGCTATTCATCGAGCAAATCAGACCAAAGATGGAGTTTCGCTTTTGTTTTTTTCTTTTCAGGAAAACTTCGTCAATCATCGACCGTTGAACCAATTCTATTGCGTCTGTTTGATCTGTTGAAACCTGATGATTATCGTTTGTTATTTTCGACTATCAATCGACAAAAATTGGATTATAAATGGTTAGAAACATTCAGTAAACTGTGTATGCAACGATACTTGGATCTCGATGATATATTTTTCTCGGAGGAAACTCTGTCGAATCCAATTCGCTCGGAATCACATTCGAATTCCATTCTCGAAAACTATACGAACTATCTCATCGAAAATTTCAAGAACTTCTTCACAATCCAACATTTCCACGCAATCATCTACGAATTAGAACAATTGAATCAGTTCAAAACTGAACAAATCTCTAAGCAGTTGAATGAGAACAATCATATCATACAAAAATTGTTTTTGTTATTTAATAATAATCCTCAATTTTATGATGATTCAATCATCCACCTCAGTTCGACACCTGCACAGCCCATTCATGTCAATTACAAAGCGACACATATGATTTTCCTGCGTACATCGATTCTCGTTCAGAATGAGCACGATTCGCACCTGCCAAGCAAAGGAATTACGAAAGCATTTGTCGCTGATTTAACCAGTACCAAGAAAATCGAAATAATTGACGAAAGCACGAATAAAACGTGCGAAATTCCAACGAAATGGCTTTATTTCGGCAAAGCATGTGAGAAGAACATCATTTTGCCATTGAAACTACGCGTGATGATCATCGATTGTCGAACAAACCAACGTCGTTATGGCCTCATCGGTGAAGAACCTGGCAAACAAAATCATTATCGTTGTTTGATCTTTTTTACTGACGAGAGTGCGAATGTATCCGCGGGTTATTATCTCTCATCGGAAGTTCATATTTGTCTTGATCAAATGTTTGAATGTGACAATGAATTTTTGAACTCGTATTTTAAATCCTATCCGGAACGGTTAATGTTACGTGCCAAAGAAGGAACAACTGTGAAAGTTCGCAATGGCAATCGAAACAGTTTCGTTCAAGCCATCGTCATTCAAATTGATTGTTCGATGATGTTAATCGAGCTGAATAATACCAAACAACGTATGTGGCTCTATCGTGGTTCGACATTGATTGAACAAATGAATACGTATTATGTGACGCAGAATAGAGTCGATAGGAATGGATTGGGTAGACATTCGGCAAGACAACATCTTTCAGCAAGAAAAACTAATGCACCGGAAATTATTTGTTTGAATGATCAAATGAAAACAAAAACTGCTCGAACTGCAGATCAAGCAATCGATGAGACAAGTTGTTAACTTTTGTATTCTAAAGGTTTATTTTCAAACTTGATTCGCTTTTTAGGACCTAAAAAACGCGCTCGTTTACCATCGGAACATTTACCAGACAAATCTGCATTAGTTCCAAGTGAATCTCATGTACTTCGATCTTCTTCTACCAACAGTGTTCCAGCAGTAGATCACATCGTCACATCTGTTCAATCACGCTCTACTCATGTATGCCATCTTCTCAAAGAGAAGATTTGTAAATATTATCGATTTTTTATCATAGGCACATCCGAATCCGAAGATTGTGATTAATCCAATATTTCTTGAATTAACACAAAACTTTCTTTTACACTATTCAAAAGACTTCACGCAGCATTATTGTTCGTCGAAGTGCGTTATGCAAGCTGAAAAGTACTTTGCACAACTGCCAAGAACCATGAATCCATATTTGAAGCCAGTCGCCTGTCAATGGACAATTCTTGAAACAATACGGATTCGGAAAGCTAACGATGTTCGCGTTAAGAATACGCGACCGATTTTAATCTATCGCGCGCCATGTTAGTGATTGTTGACGAACTGTCAGAACTGTGAATATAAGTTTTGATTTTGTTTTTTTTTAGGTGGAAGGAAGTTTTTGAACGAAACACAAGTGGATAATTATCTTACTGAAACGAAGTCTAAACTATCGATTGAATTATTTGTCTTCGATAGTTTAGTGAATATCAAACAATGGTATTGTTCAGATGGGAAACTGATTACCTCTGATATATCAAATGGTCAAGAGAATGTTCCGATTTCTGCTGTTAATGAAGTTGATGAGGAACGGCCAAATACATTTACTTATCGTGTTGAACGAACGCCTGTCGAAGGAGTCAATATGGTTCTCAATGAACCAACGATGACTTGTTGTTCATGTACAGATGGATGTCGAAATCGTACTCAATGTGCATGTGAATTTTTACGAGCGAAATTTGTTTCGAATATTCTTAGATATTCTCTATTTCAGGTTGGTTACGCACATTGAAATATGCGGAATTGATCGGTGATGATCGCGTGAAGGCAATGAAGAAGAAAAATAAGAGCCAGGCGGAAATTCTATATCAACTGGGCTATGGTTTTCGGCGTTTACATAAAAATGCACCTGGTGGGATATATGAATGTAATAGTAGATGTTCATGTAATAAAGAGACGTGCTCAAATCGAGTTGTACAAAATGGTATCATGGCTCAACTTCAGGTATCTTCTTTAGTAAGATTCGGGATCAATTGAAGTCGTTTATTTTTTGTTTCTAGTTATTTAAAACTGTTGGTCGTGGTTGGGGCGTTCGAACTTTGCATGATCTTCCGTTAGGGACATTCGTCAGTGTGTATTCAGGTGAAATATTTACCAGTGAACAAGCAGATGAAAGAGGAAAGTTGATTGGAGATGAATATCAAGCAGATTTGGACTTTTTCGAAGTAAACGATTTTGTTGACTTACCATCGATTTCCATCAAATCGTGTTTTTTGTTTATTGAAAAGAATATAAATGACGATTCTGATGAAGATGACGATAGCGGTGCAAACTTATCATCCGAAGATGAAGACGAAGAAAACAAAACTCCTCTAAGTACAGATTGATAAATATTTCGAAGTATTCCATATTTTCTTGTTCAATTCAGATAAATCTCGTTCGAAAAATCTACGTTCACACGGCAATTCGAGTAAGAAAACAATGAAACAATCTTCCAAGACAGAAGACGACGATGATGATGAAGAGCAAACAAACAATAATTCAATATTGAATAGAACATGTTTACCAGAATACGATGGAGTTGTATATACACTTGATGCAAAACTAGTCGGAAATATTGGACGATATTTTAATCATTCCTGTTCCCCAAATATCGCCGTACAAAATGTTTTTGTTGATGTAAGTTCTTCTCATCCTCGTAGAAACCTATCGCAACGCCAACTTCTCTCTAGACACACGATATTCATTTTCCTTGGATTGGATTTTTTACGACGAAAACAATTCGCGCAGGAACCGAATTATGGTAAGTAGCAACAGTTCAAATCTACAATTGATTTCCTTTTCGTCTTAATTTAGCTGGGATTATAACTATACAGTTGGCGAAATAGCTGGACGTCGAATGGATTGTAATTGCGGTTCATCTGAATGTCGACGTCGAGTTCTCTAGTTATTTAATTTGCTAATTTTGCTCAGATATCATAGTATCTTGTTACAACAAGAAAATGTCAGATAGAAATATATGTATTATTTTGTCTATTGTACATTTATTCTCTTTGCTCGCATGGATTTCTTGAGCGAGCAAGAGTTAATTTTGGTAATAAAATAACAATCTTAGTCAATTGAGATACATTCTCTTAAAGATACTGTTCTTATAAAACGAGTTAATTGCATTGGCACATTGATGCATGATAATATGCATTAACTGAAACGACTTCATTTTCATTCGATTATTCAATTAAAGAAAAATATTCAAGTGCAAAAGATTCAACTTGACATGTTCATTGATAATAGAATCGTGAATAGAACAGTCGAATAATAACCTGTCGGATATGTTTACTCAAGGAAACGAGAATATTCGTTGTTGAATCACGAAGAAATAGAAGGTTCGGCAAGAAGAACCATGGATGACTGGCTGAAATTCTAGTTTTGCACTCTTAACAGCCAAGTGCATAGAATCCAATGAATTTTTTTCCATTTGTTGCATAACAGATGATTGTTGTCGTTAGCAATAATGTTTTTTTTTTGCTTAATGAATTAATCTAAACAAAATTCAACATCGATTTTTCGTTCTTCTTTTTTTATTTCAACAATCGGATGAAATACTGTTTTGTAAAACAACAACATCAGTTCATCTGTGCGCATAGAAACCGATTGTTGAGAAGTTAGGTGGCTCGATAGACTGTTATTTGTTCTTTCTCTTCTCTGTTTGTTCGTATGCATTCATTGCATCGACCGGAACAAGGAGAAACTGTTGCAAAGGAGAATAGCAAGCGTGTGTGTATGTGTAGTCTATACATTACATTAAAAATATATATAAAGTGAAAAAAATTCTCTCGTTTTTTTTTTAATATTTCGCTCTGCGTCGCTGTAGTTTTCTTTCTCTTTCTCTCTCGCTTTTTAGAATCTCTCATTCACTCGTCTTTTTCAGCAGCGTCCTGTCGTTGAGCAGAAAACAAAACATTGAAAAGTTTTAACTGGAATCTTTTTATTCTCGTTAAGTAATACGAACAGCTGTTGAAGTTTGTTGCTAACAAAGCAAAATGGCTGAGGAACTCGAATTAAACGATCCTCGGATCTATTTCGTCGCTGATTATGTACTTAAAATTCTCAAGCTGAAATCAGATAAATTCGGCAAGATGTACGGCGTTGAAGAAAACAAACAAATGATCCACGACTTCTTCGATAAACCGGATAATCAAATTCTTGTGATTCAATATACAACAGCCGGTTCACTTCAGCCCGCATTAACATTTCCGACCATTGTCAAAAACAAATCCTGCTACTTCATTAAGAAACGTCGTGAACCAGTGCCGAAAGATGCAATCCTTCGAGATGTGATCATGTACGGCGATTTATCAACATCACCTGTCGAACAATTGTCAGCAATGATCGACGAAGTAAATCGTTTTGTTTACTTGAATAATTCATCAACAAGAATTTCTTTTTCTGTTAATTAGTTACTTATTCCTATTCTACAAAATCCATCAAATAATGAAGCATGGCCAAAAGTTCTCTCACAAGATATTCTTCGTCATGCAATGGGTATTAAAAACAAAGTACACGTTCTAAATGGTCAAATGAAAGGTTTGTTGAATTCACAACTTGTTGATTTCGCATTTCTCCCAAAGTTGCCACCCGTTGCTAAGTAAGCAACAGAATTTGAATAAGAGTCAAAATCGTACAGCACGTTTCTTAGCAACGGAAAACACGAGTTGTCTTTTCATATAGGTAAAACACTCCTACCAGTTCCAGCTGGTGCTGAACGAGTCGCAGATGATATGAGTAATGGTCAACAAGAAAACGGTCAAGCATCCGCAGTCGATAATAATTTATTACATGCTATTGAATCAGTTGTGATTGAATGGTCACATCAAGTACAAGATGTTTTGAAGAAAGATTCATCGCAAGCATTATTGGATGGCGGAAGTCCATTGCCCAGTGTCGAAGTCGAATTTTGGCGATCGAGATATAATAATCTTTTGAGCATTCATGAACAAGTAGGATTTTGAACTAGCGAAAGATGTCTTCTCAACTCGTGTTGTAGTTAAACGATCCTCGTGTGAAAAAAATGGCAGAACTACTGCGAAAGACGAATTCAAGTTACTATCCAGCTTTCGAAACATTACTGCACGATGTTCAAGATTCATTAGACGAAGCAAAAGAAATCGATCTCTATCTCAAACCAGTTTCACAACATTTTGATGGAATCGAAACGACAGATTTCGGTGAAACTGTTCCACTCTATCCACCAATGTTTCACGCAATATGTCTAATGTGGGCGAACTGCAAAGCCTATCGTCGACCAGCACGTATTATCGTTCTTTTACAAGAGTTAAACAATCTCATTATGAAACAAGTAAGTTGACGCTGGTTGGTGAGAAATGCGATTTTTTTATTATCGATGTTTCCTAGGCTTCGGAGTTTATGGAACCATTGGATTTGTTCAAAGGTGAACCTGATGAATCGATGGAAAAAATCAATCAAACAGTTCGAGCGCTTGAAGCGTATGAAAATGCATACAAGCAGTACAAAGGAAATTTGAAGAACTACTTCAAAAACGGCGAAGTGGTTAAAGAATTCGACTTTTCACCAAAATTAGTCTTTGCCAAATGGGATTTGTTCATGGGACGTGTGCGAATCATCCAAGACTTGTTTCATACCGCCAGTGAATTTCTTCGATTAGAAAAAGTTGAAATCGGAGGTAAGATATGTAAAAACAAGACTTGCACTTAATCTTACAGTCGAACACTTTCTCTTCTAGGTACCAAAGGCAAAACATTGACATCATTGGTTTTCAATATTTTCGAACAATTCAAAGACGAATTCGAAACAATGAGTAACAAAAAATACGATCCATTAGATCCATCATCCGACGTATGTTATTTCAACTACTCAGTTGTCTTTTGAAATTAAAATTGTTTCTGTAGGAATTTCTGGTGGACATCGAACACTTCAAACAATTCCTTCGTGATATGGAATTGAAACTAGCTTCAATTATTAATCAAGCATTCGATGATTCGAATTGTTTGAGTAGTCAATTCAAACTCATTGGAATGTTCGCTCCAATGTTAGAACGGCCAGTTATTTACGAAGCATTTGTACGAAATTACGATCGATTGACACTTTCGGTCGAACAAGAAATCGATGAAACACATCAGGTCTATGAAAGACAAATGGCCTACAAACAACAACATGGAACTATAGAATTACATCGAAATCAACCACCTGTCGCCGGTTCATTAGCATGGTAAATCATTGTTTCTTGTTTTTTTTTCAAAATAGAAAAACCAAATCTTTGCCTTTAGGGTCGATGAAATGAAAGATCGTATCGAAGAGCCATGCGAAGCCTTTTTGAAAATTGATTATCCGTAAATAAGAGTTCGATTGAAGAGTTTTCTCGAAAAAGAATGACTAACTTTTATTTAGAGCAAAAGATACTTACGAAGGCAAACGTGTTATTGCCAAACGCGCTGAATTAATTCAATTATTAGACAATTTTGCTAAAAGTATTTTCGGTGCTTGGTCGAAAACGGTTGGTCAAGCTGCTAATGCTAATCTAAAACAGAATCTGGTCATTCGAAATCCGGAAACCAAACTTATCAAAACCAATTTTGATCCACAAGTAGATCATTTATCTTTGATCTTCGACATAACTACTTCTACTTCATGTATTCTAGCTCATCGGTGTGTTACGTGAAGTTAAATACATGGAACAAACGAACGAAGGCGATAACAAGGCGAATATTCCCGAAGAAGCAAAGAAAATGTATGAAGAAAATGAGAAATTTATCAATTATGTTACCAATCTCGATTATACGGTTTCATCTTACAATAAAGTCCGTATGACCATTCACGAGGTCGAAAAGCCACTTGTTCAAAAGCAATTAGACGAAATCGATCAAAATTTAACTAAAGCAGAGAAAACTCTGACATGGGCAACGCCAGGTAAATTTTTCTCCTCTCGAAATTCTTTCTATGAAATCATAATTCATACATCTATGTCAAGAGTTATTCTTAATTGAATCTAAATCTTACAACGGTTTGTTTTTTTGCATGATTGTTCTCTATGTTTCGCCATGTTTCTTTCCCATCATTCACAAATTTCCAGGACAATGTTTTCCCTTTATTCACGAACAAAGAATGATCGTATTTGCTGATTTTTAGACATCTGGGACTACATCAAAGCAATTCGCGCTGAAGTCTATGACTTGGAAAACCGTTTACACAAAGCTAAAGCGAATGTTGAACAAATTCAACGTTTAATGTCAACTTGGCAAGATGTTCCACTATACAAACGTTCCGAAGGCAAATCGACCTTGTTGTTTCTTGATGATAAAGAACAACGATTGAATAATCGTTACAAAGAAATCGATGAAACAGGCAAGAAGATTCATGGTCTATTGAAGGAAAACGGCGAATTACTTAAAGTCGAAAATTTCGACACGGATGCATGGAGAAACTATGTCGATTATGTCGACAAAATGGTCTTAGAAGGATTCAGAAAGATTATACATTGTAATTTGATGTTCTTCATGCGTGAAACTGATCCTGCACAAAATCCCGATCCTCTCTTCGAAGCACAATTACAGTTACAAGTAAGCAACGTTTATTTTATCTAAACTCACATAGGAATTTATATTTTTCTAGCAACCAAACATGGTCTTCAATCCCTCGATGGACGAAAATGATAAAAATACATTCCTCGAACTAGTCGAAGATCTCCTCAACACGATTTACAAGCAAGGTTCATTGATTCCACGTCTCGCTAGTCATACCCAACAAGCCAATTATCAAGATGCACTAGAACATATGCAAGATTTGTCGGACATTCGAACAGAATTCACCGACCGTGTCAATGCAGTCATAACCAAAGCTAACGAATACCGAGCTATGTTTAATAAATATGCTTATTTATGGGTGGATGATCGACAGGAGTTTATGCGACAATTTCTGCTCTATGGTCATGTATTAACGCAAGAAGAAATCGATGCTGGCGGTGAACAAGGCGTGCCGCAAAATCCACCAACTTTACAGCAATTCAAAGAACAAGTCGATACGTACGAAAACATCTACGATGAAGTTAGTAAATTCGACGATACGAAAATCTTGGACAAATGGTTTCGTGTTGATTCTCGACCGTTCAAACAAGCGTTGCTCAATATTGCCAAGAAATGGTCGTACATGTTCAAACAACATCTCATGGATGATGTCACCAATAGGTAATGTTAATCGAAAGAGGAAATCATCGAATTTTCACTGGCTTTTGTTAATTTAGCTTACAAGAATTAGCTGATTTCATCAAATTACATGACAAAGGTCTTAGTGTGACAATCAAAGAAGGAGATTATGATTTACTCGTTTCTCTCATGGCTCATCTTGGTGCTGTTCGTGAGAAACAACCAAAATTCGACGGCATGTTCGAACCAATGAAACAAAAACTTGAATTCTTGAAAAATTACGGACAAGAAGTTCATGATGATGTGTACGAACGTTTGAATGTTCTACCAGAAAAATGGGCGAATACGAAGAAACTCGCTCTTACCATTAAACAACAAGTCGCACCGTTACAGACCAACGAAGTGGCAAATATTCGTCGAAAAGTTGCTAGTTTCGACGTTCAACAATATGAATTTCGTGAACAATTTCGTAAAGAAGTGCCTTATACATACGATCAAACACTCGTTTACAAGAAATTGGATAAGGCGAATGCCAAAGTCACCTCTATGGAACGTGAAATGCAAGCATTGAGTAATTCAGCAGCTCTGTTCGAAGTTACTGTGCCAGACTTCAAACAGATCAAACAATGTCGAAAAGAAATCAAATTACTCAAACAACTATGGGATTATATTAATTTAGTTCGAACACAATTCGAAGATTGGGAGAAAACCAAATGGCGTGAAATTAACGCAGAAACGGTAGGCTTCGCATTCGAATTTTTATTCAATCTCACTTGTTTCTGAATGTAGATGGATCAAGAATGTAAAAAATTCGCTAAAGATATTCGAGGTAAACTTGTTTTCTATTCTTGTTCATCATAATTCTGCATTTCTCCATCCAATTCAGGTTTGGATAAGGAGATGCGCGCTTGGAATGCTTATACCGGTCTCGACGATGCTGTGAAGAACATGATGACATCATTACGCGCTGTAACTGAACTACAAAATCCAGCAATTCGTGAACGTCATTGGCATGAATTGATGCAAGCAACCGGTGTAGAATTTGCAATGACAGATTCCACCACATTCGCTGATCTTGTTGCTCTACGTCTCCATCAATACGAAGATGAAGTCAAAAACATCGTCGACAAAGCTGTGAAAGAAATGGCTATGGAAAAAGTCTTACGTGAATTGGATAACACATGGAAATCGATGGAGTTCACCCAGGAACCGCATACACGTACAAAACTACCGTTGATTGTCGTTCAAGAAGAATTGATTGAAGTTCTCGAAGAGAATCAAGTTCAATTGCAGAATATGTTAACATCGAAATACATTGCACATTTTCTCAAAGAAGTCACCGATTGGCAACGAAGTTTGTCTCAAGCTGATCAAGTTATTCACATACTTTTGGAAGTCCAGAAGACCTGGTCACATTTAGAATCGATTTTTATTGGCTCGCAAGATATTCGTAATCAATTACCGGAAGATTCACGACGATTCGATACAATCGATAAAGATTTTCGTGCCATTGCAGAAGAAAATGGAAAAGATCTGAACGTCGTTCGTTGTACAAATCGAGAAAAATTGAACGATCGATTAGAAGACATCAAAGCACGATTAGCCCTATGCGAAAAAGCATTAGCTGATTATTTGGAAACCAAACGATTGGCGTTTCCACGGTAAAAGATATTCACTAGAAATATTCTCAAGAAAAATTGATTTCGTTTCAGATTTTACTTCGTATCAGCTGCTGATCTTCTCGATATTTTATCGAATGGTAACGAGCCGGAAAAAGTAATGCGCCATCTAACCAAACTGTTCGATTCGATGTCGAAACTGAAATTAACCGAAGAGCGCGGACATACAACAAAGATTGCTACAGCTATGTGGGCAAAAGATGGCGAATTCATGGCATTTCCATCCTCATGTGATCTCAACGGTCAAGTTGAAGTTTGGCTTAATCGGTAAAACGATCGAAAGGAAAAGATCATTTTTATCATCATGAGACTTTGTGTTTTGTAGACTTCTCGAGAAACAATGTGAAACAGTACGACATCACTTAACTGAAGCTGTTGGTGCCTACGAAGATAAAGCGCGTGACCAATGGATTATGGATTATCCTGCTCAAGTTGCCTTAACTGGTTCACAGATCTGGTGGACTGTGGAAGTGTGTGGTGCTTTCGCCAAATTAGAAGAAGGTTATGAAAATGCTCTGAAAGATTTTTATCGTAAACAAGTCTCCCAACTGAATGCATTGATTGGACATCTACTAGGTGATTTGTCTGCTGGTGATCGACAAAAGATTATGACTATTTGTACAGTAAGTTGTTCGCAGTAAACTGACTCTCTTCTGACAGTTTATTTCCAATTTAGATCGATGTCCACGCTCGTGATGTGGTCACAAAACTGATAACTGCCAAATGCGAAAGTGTCAATGATTTTATGTGGCAATGTCAATTGCGACATCGATGGGATGAAAAAGAAAAGGATTGTTTTGCTAATATTTGCGATGCACAATTTCGTTATGCTCATGAATATCTCGGTAATCAACCACGTCTAGTCATTACTCCATTAACAGATCGTTGTTATATTACATTGACACAATCATTGCATTTAATTATGGGTGGTGCACCTGCTGGTCCAGCCGGTACAGGTAAAACGGAAACAACCAAAGATTTAGGACGTGCGTTAGGTATTATGGTCTATGTATTCAATTGTTCCGAACAGATGGATTATAAGTCATGTGGTAATATCTATAAAGGTTTAGCTCAAACAGGTAAATACTCGTCATGTTGTGTTTTTCTTACTAATGATGAATATTTCGGGAATATTCGTTAGGTGCGTGGGGTTGTTTCGATGAATTCAATCGAATTTCCGTTGAAGTACTTTCTGTCATTGCTGTACAAGTCAAAACTATTCAAGTAAACCTTCTTAGAATAGTCATGCAGAGAAAAAACTTTGTTTCCAATTCAGGATGCTATTCGAGAGAAGAAACTACGATTCTCGTTTATGGGTGAAGAAATTCGTCTTAATCGTACTGTTGGTCTATTTATTACTATGAATCCTGGTTATGCTGGTCGAACTGAATTACCTGAAAATTTGAAAGCCCTCTTTCGGTAAGATTATTCATGTTTGATAATCCAAGTTCAATATAATTTTTGCACTCTAGCCCATGCGCTATGGTCGTACCAGATTTCGATCTCATTTCTGAAATTATGATGGTCGCTGAAGGTTTCACAGATGCTCGTCTATTAGCTCGAAAATTCATCACTCTCTACTCGTTGTGTAAAGAATTGCTATCTAAACAAGTATGTGAATCGTAATCTGATCAACGATAAATACGCACTATTGATTAATATTTAGGACCATTACGATTGGGGTCTACGTGCTATTAAATCTGTCTTGGTCGTCGCTGGTTCTCTTCGACGATCGGATCCTGGTCGACCGGAAGATCAAGTGTTAATGCGTGCTTTACGTGATTTCAACATTCCGAAGATCGTCACAGACGATATGCCTGTCTTTATGGGTCTTATAGGTGATCTGTTCCCTGCACTCGACGTTCCACGTAAACGGTGAGAATATACGACCAGTTCTCTATGTAGTTGTTATATCATGTGTGTCATTTGTAGAAATCTCGATTTCGAAAAATTGATTAAACAAGCTACTGTTGACTTGAAACTTCAACCAGAAGATTCGTTCATTTTGAAAGTTGTTCAATTACAAGAATTATTCGAAGTGCGTCACTCGGTCTTCATCGTTGGTAATGCTGGTACAGGCAAATCACAAATTTGGAAAGTATTGAATCGTACATATCATAATCAGAAACGCAAACCCGTTGCTATCGATCTAAATCCTAAAGCTGTGACAAACGATGAACTTTTCGGTATTATCAATCCAGCCACCCGTGAATGGAAAGATGGCTTATTTTCTACAACTATGCGTGATCTAGCAAATGTACAATCCGATGGTAAGAAAAACCTTGTGTTGATGTTATGTGAATTCCCTCTTTCCATCTTTTAAAGGTCCAAAATGGATTGTACTCGATGGTGATATCGATCCCATGTGGATTGAATCTTTGAATACTGTTATGGATGATAACAAAGTATTAACATTAGCCAGTAATGAACGTATTCCATTGAATCCAACGATGCGTCTTCTTTTCGAAATCAGTCATTTACGTACAGCTACACCGGCTACTGTCTCACGTGCTGGTATTCTATATATCAATCCAGCTGATCTTGGTTGGAATCCGCAAGTAGCGACATGGATTGATACGCGTGAATTAACATCTGAACGTGCAAATTTAACAATTCTGTTCGATAAATATGTTCCTATGTGTCTCGAAGCTGTTAAAGGTCGTTTCAAGAAGATTACACCTATTGTCGAAGGTGCACATATTCACATGCTGTGTCGTCTACTCGAATGTATGTTAACTCCAACAAATACACCACCTGACTGTCCAAAGGAATTGTACGAACTTTACTTCGTCTTTGCCTGTGTATGGGCATTTGGTTCGGCGTTGTTTCAAGATCAAATCACTGATCATCGATTGGAATTTTCCAAATGGTGGGTGACAGAATTTAAATCCGTGAAATTTCCGATCCAAGGTACAGTCTTCGACTATTATATCGATCCTGAGACGAAGAAATTCGAACCATGGACAAAACTCGTACCAAAGTTTGTCTTAGACAGCGAAATACCGTTACAAGTAAATTTCAGCTCGAATGTTTATATCTCTCCATGAATTATCTTTGTTCTTTCTTCTATAGTCTGTCCTGGTACCGACCGCAGAAACAACTCGTATTCGATATTTCATGGATTTACTTCTAGTGAAAGGATGGCCAATTATGTTAGGTAAGAATTTCCTCCTAGAGTTCTTTTAGTTTTTCATATGGAATTTAGTTGGTAATGCCGGTTGCGGTAAAACTGTACTGATCAATGATAAATTGTCATCTCTCAACGAAGACTGGCTCGCTGTATCTGTTCCGTTTAACTTCTATACCACCAGTGAAATGCTTCAAGGAATTCTGGAAAAACCTTTGGAAAAGAAAGCTGGTCGAAACTATGGTCCACCCGGTAGCAAAAAGATCATCTATTTCATTGACGATATGAACATGCCCGAAGTATGAGCTCGTTAACTATTTACTCAAATACGACTCAATTGATTTTTTCAGGTCGATCAATACTATACATGTCAACCACACACACTTCTTCGTCAACATTTGGATTATAAACATTGGTACGATCGTCAGAAACTAACCTTGAAAGAAATTCACAATTGCCAATACGTAAGTGCAATGAATCCAACCGCTGGTTCATTTACAATTGATACACGCTTACAACGTCACTTTGCTGTATTTGCTGTGTCATTTCCTGGCATGGAAGCTTTGGAGACCATCTACGTTGGTATCTTATCTCAACATTTAGCCGAAGGCTTTGTGCAGACAGTACAGAAATATACATTAAATCTTGTTCGTGGTGCATTGGAACTTCATCGTCGTATTACAGCGTCATTTTTACCAACAGCTATTAAATTTCATTACATATTCAATCTTCGAGATTTATCAAACATATTTCAAGTTTGTCTATTGAGATGAATCAAGATGTATATTCGATTCTTTTCCCTCTTTAGGCTATCCTCTTTGCGAAACCTGAAGCTATTAAAACACACAACGATTTGATTCGACTCTATCTTCATGAATCTGAACGTGTCTATTGTGATAAATTAGTCGACCGAACGGATATTGATACATTCATAAAATTGCAACGCGATGTCGCAAAGAAATCATTCGAAGTACATATGCGAACATGCTTTGTCTTATTCGATTTTTTCAAATTCTCTTTAGGAAATCGACGAAGAATTCGTTTTCAAAAAGCCGAACATCTTCTGTCACTTTGCATTAGGTGTTGGTGATCCGAAGTATATGCCGATCGATAATTGGCCACATTTACAAAAACTATTGAATGACGCTCTCGATGCCTACAATGAACTGAATGCACAAATGAACTTAGTGTTGTTCGAAGATGCTATGACACATGTCTGTCGAATCAATCGTATATTAGAAGCACCACGTGGTAATGCTCTTCTGATCGGTGTCGGTGGTAGTGGTAAACAAAGTTTAGCTCGATTAGCAGCATCGATTAGTTCATTGGAAGTGTTTCAAATTACACTTCGAAAAGGTTAGATCTTATTGAATATTTCCACCGTATTCTTTGTTTATTTTGTTTTAGGTTATAGCATTGCTGATCTGAAAACCGATTTAGGAGCACTGTATATCAAAGCTGGACAGAAAGGCATTGGAACCGTGTTTCTCATGACCGATTCTCAAGTGGCCGATGAGAAATTTCTGGTTTTAATTAACGATATGCTTGCATCAGGTGAAATTCCAAGTCTATTCGCTGATGATGCTATCGAAGAAATCATCGGCGCAATGAGAAATGAAGTTAAATCACAGGGTATTGATGATACTCGCGAAAATATTTGGAAATATTTCATTGAAAAAGTTCGACGTAATCTAAAAGTAACGAAAATCATCTTTCGCTTGTTGAGCTAAGAACTCACCAATGAATATAATAGGTCGTTCTGTGCTTCTCACCCGTCGGTACAACTCTTCGAGTTCGATCACGAAAATTTCCAGCTATTACAAATTGTACTTCCATCGATTGGTATCACGAATGGCCAGAGGTATGAATGAACCTATTTCTCTAGTTTGCATTCTTGTCTGTTTCTCGTTTTTAGGAAGCTTTGATCTCTGTCGCCAATCGGTAAGTTAACTATTTATATTTTTGATAATTTTCATTTCTGAATTGATTAGATTCGTTGCTGATGTGGACACGCTCAAACCCGAACTGAAAGATTCTGTTGCTAAATTTATGGCTTTTGTACACAAATCTGTCAATGAGATGAGCGTTGCTTATCTCATGGTAAATTAGCTATCCAGTTCTATGTTTTCATCAAGCGAATATTCGTCTTCCTAGAACGATAAGCGATACAATTACACAACACCGAAATCGTTTCTTGAACAAATTACTCTATATAAAAACTTGTTATCAAAGCAAAATCGTGATCTACAAGACAAAATTGTTCGTTTAGAAAGTGGTCTGGTTAAATTACAATCGTGTGCTCGACAAGTCGACGATCTAAAAGAAAAACTTGCTGCACAGGAAGTCGAATTAAAACAGAAGAACGACGATGCTGACAAACTGATTAAGGTTCGTTTCTTGTGCAAAGAATATCTTCTGAAAAAAACTTGAATTCCTTTCTAGGTGGTTGCTACCGAAACCGCAAAGGTAACTAAAGAAAAAGAAGCTGCTGGTGTTGAACAAGCTAAAGTCATGGAGATCGAAAAAGTTGTCACAGTTAAAGCAGAAGATTGCGAACGTGATTTAGCACGTGCTATGCCTGCTCTACGAGCTGCCGAAGACGCTTTGAACACACTGGATAAAAACAGTTTAACGTATGTATTTGAAGAAAAGCAAGGAACGCATGAATTTATATTCTATTCTATTCTATTCTAGTGAAATGAAAGCTTTCCCTAATCCACCAGAAGCTGTACTTAAAGTCGGTGCTGCTGTGTTGTGTTTAATGCCACCGGGTGGTAAAATTCCTCGACCGAATCAACGTGATTGGAAAGCGTGTAAAGCGAACATGGGTAACGTCGATCAATTTCTTCGTAAGTTTAAACTTGAGGGTAGGAATAATATTGAAAATAAATTTCGACTTATGCAGAAGCATTGAAAACATACGATAAAGAACATATTCGTGATGATATGCGTCGTGAAGTCAAAGTTTATATTGATGATCCAGATTTTGATCCTGACAAGATTCGAACGAAATCATTTGCTGCTGCTGGTCTTTCCGCTTGGGTTATCAACATTCTTCTGTAAGTTATTTCTTCGTTCATCGGCAACGGAAAAATCAATATGCTTTTGATCAATGTAGATTTTATGAAGTTTATTGTGAAGTCGAGCCTAAACGCTTAGCCTTGGAAAAAGCCAATGCAGAATTAAAAGCTGCTCGAGATAAATTAGACTCAGTCAATCGACAAGTTGCAGTATGTTATTTCGCAGTGGGTCGAACTTTGCTCTATCGAGATTGTTTCTATTTTAGCAACTGGAACAAGCTCTGGCGAAATTAACAGCTGAATATGAAGTTGCTATGGCTGCTAAACAAAAATGTCAAGATGAAGCTGATCGTACAGCATATACCATCAACTTAGCTAATCGTCTAGTGAATGGTCTTGCATCGGAAAATGTCCGTTGGCGTGAATCTGTTGCTGGTTATCGAAAATCGGAAGAAACAACGCCAGGAGATGTGCTATTGATTACAGCTTTCGTTTCATACGTCGGTTGTTTCACTAAAGCCTATCGAGTTGATCTCATGGAACATCATTGGAGACCGCACTTATCTGCATTAAAAGTAACATTTCTATCAGGATCACATACTTTCAACACGAATCAAATGATTTTCTTTCATCTAGACTCCAATTCCTGTTACTGCTGGTATTGATCCATTGACGTTAGTCGTCGATGATGCCATCGTTGCCGGATGGAATAATGAAGGTTTACCATCGGATCGTATGTCTACTGAAAACGCCACAATTCTTACTATTTGTGAACGTTGGCCATTGATGATTGATCCTCAATTGCAAGGCATTAAATGGATTAAACAACGTTACGGTGAACGCTTGAAAGTTATTCGCTTGGGACAAAAAGGTTATCTCGATAAGATTGAACAAGCTATTGCAGGCGGTGAAACTCTTCTCATTGAAAACATCGATGAATCCATCGAAGCTGTACTCGATCCATTACTTGGCCGAAATACTATTCGTAAAGGCCGTGCTATCCGATTAGGTGATAAAGAAATTGAATATCATCCAGATTTTCGACTTATCCTACAAACAAAACTTGCCAATCCACATTATAAACCTGAAATGCAAGCTCAAACGACACTGATCAACTTCACAGTCACAAAGGATGGTTTGGAAGATCAATTATTAGCTGATGTCGTAGCTAAAGTAAGCGAAAATGTTCAATACGTTTCTTTGTCATCGATCGTTTCTTCTGATAGGAACGTCCTGATCTCGAACGATTGAAATCTGATTTGACAAAACAACAAAATGAATTCAAGATTACATTGAAACGTCTAGAAGATAACCTTTTAGCTCGTCTATCATCGGCTGGTTCGAATTTTCTTGGCGACACTGAACTTGTCGAGAATTTGGAAAATACCAAACGAACAGCGACTGAAATCGAAGAAAAAGTCGGCGAAGCTAAAGTTACTTCAGTGAAGATCGACGAAGCTCGTGAATTATACCGTCCCGCAGCAGCACGTGCCAGTTTGATCTACTTTATCATGAACGATCTTTGCCGTATCCATCCGATGTATCAATTCTCATTGAAAGCATTCAAAGTCGTTTTCGCCAATGCAATCGAAAAAGCAGAACCATCGGAAGATGTTAAAGCACGTGTACACAATCTCATCGATTCGATTACATACTTCACATTCATTTATACAACTCGTGGTCTATTCGAAAAACACAAACTTATCTTCACATCACAAATGTCATTCTTGGTAAGTCAACTCTGCGTTGAGTTCGATGACTTGTCAACTAGCTTTGCTTAGATTCTGCTCGCATCGAAAGAAATCGATCCGAAAGAATTAGATTTTCTTCTTCGTTATCCAGTCACACCCAATGTTATTTCGCCCGTTGACTTTCTCAACGATATTTCATGGGGTGGAATCAAATCGTTGTCATCTATGAATGAATTTACCAATCTCGATCGAGATATCGAAGGTTCGGCAAAACGATGGAAAAAATATGTGGAAATGGAAGCACCAGAAAAAGAAAAACTACCACAAGAATGGAAAAACAAAACACCTTTACAAAAACTGTGTATGATGCGAGCACTTCGACCTGATCGTATGCTCTACGCACTAAGGTAAGAGAAAACTATTTAATAATTGGTTTTCTGCATGTTTTCATCTATGCTTTTGTTCAGTTTATTCGTCGAAGAAAAATTAGGCAAACAATTTGTTGAAAATCGTGCAGTACCATTCACTAAATCTTATGAAGAAACAAATACAACAACACCAGTATTCTTCATTCTTTCACCAGGTGTCGATCCAATCAAAGATGTCGAAGCACTTGGCAAAAAATTAGGCTTTACATCCAATCAAAAGACATTCCATAACATTTCACTCGGTCAAGGTAAACTAATCAAACAAATGACTTCAATCTCCTCATGTGAATTCTTTTGCAAATTTTCAGGTCAACAAATTGTCGCAGAAGAAGCTATGGATGTGGCAGCCAAGGATGGACATTGGGTTGTCTTACAGAACATTCACTTAGGCAAGTAACAATGACAAACACGATAGGCTCTTATAGCATTTTTCTCATTGATACCAATAGTATCAAGTTGGTTACCACAGTTAGAAAAGAAACTTGAACAGTGTTGGGAAATGGGTCATGAAAACTTTCGTATCTACATGTCTGCTGAACCATCAGCTGATCCATCTGGACATTGTATCCCCCAAGGTATACTCGAGTCTGCTGTGAAAATGTAAGTCGAAATGCATGGATGAAAGAATGATTTCTATTGATGTCGTACTTGTGTTTTTTTTTAGAACGAACGAACCACCAACAGGAATGCAGGCGAATTTACATAAAGCCTTGGATTTGTTCAATCAAGACACGTTGGAGATGTGTGCAAAAGAAACTGAATTCAAATCGATTTTATTTGCACTTTGTTACTTCCATGCTGTCGTAGCTGAACGGTAAGAAATGCGATTTCTGATGAGAAAGGAAGATCATTGGCAACCTTTTCTAGACGTAAATTCGGCGCTCAAGGTTGGAATCGAAACTATCCATTCAATAACGGTGATTTAACAATTTCTGTCAATGTACTTTACAACTATTTGGAGGCCAATTCCAAAGTACCATGTAAATATTGACTGAAACTTCTCTTTTCATTCACTTATACGTCGTAATCAATTTCAGGGGAAGATCTTCGATATCTATTCGGTGAAATTATGTATGGTGGTCACATTACCGACGACTGGGATCGTCGTCTATGTAAAACATATCTCGAAGAATACATGAATGCACAAATGGTAACTAAACATTTTTGATAAAATCTTTCTCCATTTTATACATCTTTAGTTCGATGGTGAACTCCTTCTTGCTCCTGGCTTTCCTATTCCACCAGCAACTGATTACAAAGGCTATCATGCCTATATCGATGAATATCTTCCACCAGAATCACCCTACTTGTATGGCTTACATCCCAATGCTGAAATTGATTTTCTAACTACAACCAGTGAAAACTTATTCAAAACTGTCTTGGAAATGCAGCCACGTGATACAGGTGCAGGAGCCGGCGGTGAAGGTTCAGGAATGACTCGTGAAGAAAAGATCAAAGCGAAACTGGATGAAATCTTAGATAAATTACCAGATGAATTTCCTGTTCGAGAACTTTATGCTAAAGCTGAAGATAAAACTCCATATACAGTTGTTGCTTTACAAGAATGTGAACGTATGAATATCTTAACACGAGAAATGAGACGATCATTGAAAGAACTGAACCTTGGTCTCAAAGGTGAACTAACCATTACTGCTGATATGGAACAATTACAAGATGCTCTATTCTTCGAGCAAGTACCAGCAGCATGGACGAAACGTGCTTATCCGTCCATGTACAGTCTTGGTTTATGGTATAGCGACTTATTATTACGTATTCGTGAGTTGGAAATGTGGACAAACGATTTTCAACTACCAGCAGCTGTCTGGCTTGGCGGTCTATTCAATCCTCAATCATTCTTAACAGCTATTATGCAAACGACTGCACGTAAGAATGAATGGCCCCTGGATAAAATGTGTCTATCCGTCGATGTAACGAAAAAGACACGAGAAGAATTAGGTGGTGCACCAAGAGAAGGTGCTTACGTTCATGGTCTCTATATGGAAGGTGCCCGATGGGATACACAAACCGGTCAATTAAGTGAATCAAGATTGAAAGAACTAACACCGATGATGCCTGTTGTCTTTGTTAAAGCTATACCAGGTAAAAATCGCTTGCTTGAAGTTTTGAGTTAAACGATGAACGTTGATTTTTAGTCGATCGTCGTGAAACGAAGAATATTTATGAATGTCCAGTCTACAAAACTAAACAACGAGGTCCCACATTCGTTTGGACATTTAATTTACGTACCAAAGAAAAACCAGCTAAATGGATCTTAGGTGGTGTTTGTCTTCTATTAGCTGTGTGAGCTTTCTCTTAGTTTACTGTTCATATAAACTTCGTCGTCGATGTATTATTATAATTATATTTTTGTTGATGAATAAATATTCATTTGTCTGAAACAATGCGTTTGTTTCAACGGCGCCGTTATAAATCAGTAAAAATGCTTCTTCTCAAAACGCTTTTATTTTTCAAGTAATTACTTGAGAAAATAGAAAAGTTACGAAGTATATAAAATATCGATGGAATAAAGAATTCTTTTTCTGCATGATTTTTATGTGTTGGTTTGTTTTTCTCCTGACTGTACAGTGTAGCACGAGAAAACAGACGATTCTCGTTGAAGTACACATCAACACAAAAGGATGGATCGCATTAGGGATCAGTCTAGCTAGAGAACTTGCGATACAGCTGACCACTTATTGCACTCATATGATTAGCTGATGCAATGGTTCGTGCTGATATCGGTGTTGGAAGGGTAGAACCGAACAGACCAGTTCGTTTTCAGGATCAATATGCATCGACATATGTAAAATCGTCGATCGATATTCGCACGAACCGGTTTGTTTTGCAAGGGCACGAGCAACACGGTTGGACCACCATCTAGTTCACACGTGCGATTGACGTATGTGATTCAATGGACGTACCAATGAAAGTAAAAGAAAGACACTTATTTCTGTCATCTGTTAAAGAGAATTAATGCACACTCTGTTGAGAAACAGATCGCGAAGAAAAGCGAAATTGTAATTGACATTTAATTTCTATATATTCTGGTACAAATCATCTTATCTTTGCATATGGCCTTACCGATCTATTTTAAGATTCTTCAAATACTAATATACTCTATCATGAAGATGGAAGAGGTGTATATTCATTATCTTTGCAAGCATATAGTGATCCATCATACTGTATGTACTCTTTTTTTGCGTTCTTCTTTTGTCTCCTGAATAATTGAGTTCCTTTAGTACAATGTCTTGTTTAATGCAACTGATCCAACACTTGTTCATCATTATCTGCTCGATGAATATGATCGATCAGTGCAATTCAATGATTCAAACTTACCGAGTGGTCTATTTTCGAATATGCTTCTTGATACGTATATGTGTATGTCAAATATTGCTGGCGGTTGGGCAATTGATGGAGATTTGGTAAGAACTGACACAGCATTTTTTTCCATTTTCATGAAAGATCCTTCCGAAGCTGATTATCCAATCGATGGCAATTTCTCCATTAAATATTACGTTATTCAACTGCATTACAACAATCCAGGACGATGCAAGAGTGAGTATTCTGTTAAAGGTAAAATTCGATCGATCTTGTTTGATTTTGAACTAGATTGTAAAGACAGTTCAGGTGTTCGATTTTATGTAACTGATCAGCTCGGACAATATGATATTGGCTATCTCACGCTAGGAACTGATGCAAGTTCACTTAGTCTAACGATCCTAGCACGAACGAATAATTCTATTGTCGATTCATATTGTCCAACCGTTGCTATGGCAGTAAGTAATTAACAGCGAAAAAACGACATTTTCGATGAAATTATTTGAATTGCATTGAAGTCTTTTCCATAAAGTGGAATTACTGTGGTAAACGCATTTCTGCATACACATTTGCAAGGTTTGAATACTTCTCGTCGAATTCAGTTGTGTACTTTTATACTAAACTTTTCTATTGAAAGGAAAATGTGCATGGACGAAAATTATTCGAAATCAAACTGCCGTTGGATATTTGTTCAATGTCGAAGCGTACGATTCCAATTATCAGTTTAACAATCGACTTCCTGAACGCATTCAACTCTATTCAGTAAATATGACATATTCAGGATTGACTTTAACCTTTATAAGCACCGATTATCCGTTTTTCCATTCTCGAAAATGTATCTTTTTTTTCCACAGAGTGACAAAAGAACAACAGATGAAATATGTCTTCACATGTTTACATATTTTCCCCGATTGAATGATATATCTGCGTGTGTGTGTCTACCATTCTCCTGACTGTATGGATAAGTTTCTTGCAAACACAGAGGTGACACAAGATGTGTAAGAGACACTTTTCAAACTCTAAATGGTGATATTTGTTTAATTCTTTTCGGAGTATAACGAGCAATATTGAAAGAGTTGCAGGTAATATCACCTGGACGCCACAATTGATAGAAAAACAGCAAAAAATTTACAATACTGCTGCATGTATCACTGTCTGCAGGGCAGAAATAAATGACGATATTGCAACTATATTAAAAGTGTCGGATTACGTTGATTTAAAGCAAATAACGTGTAATTTACGAGATATTACACATAATTTATCTACTATTTTAATAAATAATGATTTCGGTTTATAGCAAACAATAATTCTGTTCATTACGCAAGCTACTACACCTACTGCCTAGCAAATATACGAATAGCATATAATACTCATTCTTTTCTTGTACTTTGAGCTTATATTTTATTCATTCTTTCAATCTCGAAGCAAAATAAACCTTTTGTAAATCCTAATACTCTTATATGGTTCCGATGCATAACTCCTACCTGTTTCTTCAAATTATTCAAACATTATCATAAATATCTGCGTTACCACTTTGTAAATCGAGTACTTTCTACCAAAGCACTTTCAAACAACAAGTATATAATGAATTATCATATCGTATTCAATGCATTCCCTTCCCCGCAAACTAACACATTCTATATGGTATCTCAATTAGATGTAAGAAAATATCACACCTCGAACACCTTCAGTTCATTTTCATCTTGGTGAAAAGAGTCTTCAAAATACATTTCCTACTCAGACGTTTATCAAACACATATATTACAAGCGCTTTATCATGTTCGCGTTAGTATTCTCGACGGCAGAACTTGACAAATTTGTAAACGTGATTATATAATGTACTGAAAAGACATGTTTTCAGCTGATCTCTTCCATATACCAGGTAGAAAGATAAAAGGCGTATCTAACAGACATGCAAATAGAAGAAGAGATGTTCGTTTTCACGCTTCACACATAATTGATCGACAATTATCATACATTTTATTTTATTGACGTATAACGATGAATTATTTGTTCGTATCAATCATTAATATCATGTATGTCTTTTTTTAGATGCGTTCTCTGTTTTTATCACCTCACTTGAATATGAATAGGATCATTAACGACAAATTTATTCTTGTGTATGATAAACAGCATCGAACTGGTTTCAAAACGACCTTGAACTAAATATTTCCGGATCAATTCTGAGAGTAGCGTAGTTACATTTAGATTAAAAAAGCTAATCAGCTGAATAACTGGCAAACACTCATTTTCTCTTCTATCCAAAACGATTACTCTAATTCTTCTTTCATGATAAAATAAAACTCTTTGCCAAATTAGAAATACATTATGTTTATGTTTAATAATTTTTACTTAACTCATCATCTGACAGCAGATCTTCTCTAGCGTCCTATAAACGTTTAGACCATTTCAACTATGTATATCTCTACCGTCGTCTCGATGTTTATTCTCACAGCTAATTATGAACACCCTAGGGCCAAGATGGTTGAGAAAGATCTTTGACATCGATCATTGTCTTTTGGACACCTCACGTGACCTGTTCGAGGAAATGCATTGACAAGAGTATCACTTGAAATTTCCTCTTTCTCCTTAAGCTTACGCACACATCTACCTACAAAATTACGCGAAGAAAAGAGAGAGAGAGAGAAAAAACTAAGCAATAAACGAGTAGTTTTTTCCTCATTCATACTTTTACAGATAACATTTATGGTCGATTGCATCGACAATATTTTGTCTCGTTTAAGATTTTTCTCGACAAATTTCGTTTTATGGTTCTTTTTTCTTACACATTAGCACTTCACTCAATGACGCGTAAATTCTACGGTAAGGTAGAACTGTCTAGTCAGAATTCGTTTTGCTCTAACCTTTGACCACCTCCCACTTGCTCATCGAGAGTGATTCAATCGATTAAATTATGCAAGAATATTAAGATCAGGTAAGTAGTTCAATTGAGAAAATCATGACATTGGTGAACATATGGCTCGGAGAATATCCATGGGTAAAATGAGTATTTTGCACTGGAACTCATGCGCCATTAAAGAAAACCAACATGAATTCGGTAGATGAGTTCGAGAATTTACATAATCACTAATAAAGTCAGGAAATATGACTATTCGGTAGTTTAATGAATCTCTACAGACAATGAAGCTGAGTGTTATTGAAAAGGATGTTGACTCTTATGTTGAAAACTCGTACTCAGTTCGCTACTTTCTTTTATATCATCAATCGAAAATGAGGAAGAATCTTCGTACATCAGAAAATTCTTTTTTCTAATCTGAAAATTCTGTTCTTTTATGATAATTAATCTTCCTGTTTACACGATTAGTTATTCAACTCTGAAAGCGTTAGGCAAAAAAAAACTCGCTTCGTTATAATCAGATATAGTTGCTTGTTGATCGTGTCGTATCATAGTGGGTGTACAAAAACCTATTGTGTTATTTTCATATAAATGCGCGCATTGACGTGCGCAGCTTGCGCGTCGTTCTATTCTTTTCTTTTGCACAAAAGAAGAAATAGCGATATGATATTTAGTGATTCGACGACAAGCTAATGTAGATAAAAACGTGAAGAGTATAACGTCATAGAAAAAAGTTTTTTTTTTTTGGAACGTATTGTGTTTTGCTCGTTGCCAAATGAACACTCACTTCTGAGCATAGCACCGCATAGTGACTGTAGTAAGTTTGATTTCTTTTTCTGTCCTTTCTGCAGCAAAATAATAATAATAATAATATGAGCATGTTAAATTATAGATCTAATGTTAGCCTTGTTGTTTCAATTAACGATTCTCTGAGTGCATTAGTCGACCGAGAATAAAAATAGATTCCGAAAATCTCTTCGGCATTCTTTTGATTTCTTTCTTTTTTTCTTTTCTAACATTATTTTATATGAAATTATATAGAAAAAAACTTCGCTAGTTCAGGCTCGCCACTGTAACGATCATCTAAGCCTGCTCTAATGAGTCGCATTTAGAGAGAAAAATGGTAACCGGATGTTTGCATTTGTTTGAGAAAAGAGATTTTCAGTTTTTTTCTTCAACATGTTTTCAAGAGACTATTCAGGTACAACGGAAACAGAAGGCTCATACATGCCCGCAAAAATTATTCGAGAAAAAAGAAGTTCTCGTTAATAGGAATCATCATTAGTTGAATTCTATTAGAATGCACCAGTATATTCTTCATTACACATCTGCGTTTATTATTATTATTTAGATACATCGTTGCAAGTGAAATTAATAACATAACTTACTAAACAAAACAGCGTAGGAGGATATCAATACAAAGAGATTATATCCTAGGATTGAGTGCAATGTGTTAGATTCTGAAGATAAAGTTACCCGCCTACGTATTTAATTCTTTAAGTTTTATACCTATAAGGTTTGTAGGCGTGAGCTTAGAAAAATAGCTTTGATTGCTGTTCTTTATTTTTGTTTTCTTTGTGTTTGCAGATTTGAAAAAGAAAATCTCGCGACAACAATTGCTGAAATTTGGAAATGTTTAGAATATTCTTGACGTGCATTGCATGAAAAGGAATATGAAATAAAGCAAAATAAGATTATTTCATGAGAAAATCAATTGGAAAAGATGACAACACATATAATCAGCAAGAAAAATGCGACAACATCAGCATCTACTACAAATTATCATCCCATGGTGTCATCAAATTTTACAATGAATCATAAACGACGTGAAACATCCACAGGAGAAGATTCCGTAAGTAATCAAAACTCGCCTATAATAGTATTAACTGCTGACGTGCTTGTTTGTTCTATCGTTGATTTCACTCGAGTGAACAACATATATCCGGAAATCGTGAGAGAATAGCATAGTGATCTAAACGAGAATAAGCGAGGATGTGCGTCATTTCTTCGAGACTTTTTTCTATGTATTCATCTACGCATATAGAACGTGACAAGGTCAAATCATGCGCATCCGCAAGAAAAACTTGCACTCCCTGATTTCGAACTTCCCCTGATCAATCTATCCAACTGATGTATGTTCATTATCTGATCAAAACTCGTTAGAGATCTTTTCTTCATCTTCCAATAATATTCCATCGACATGGGTCAATTCTTTTCTCTTGCCCACATTCGAAGGCATCATTAATGATTATCAATACTATCTTATTTCCTATTTTTGAAAATATGCAACACATCTCTATACATCGATGTATATGTGCGTAGAATAGGAGATTTTTCTGTCTCTTATTTTGTCATTAGCGATGTTGAGTACGCGATTGATGGAATTAAGAAGAAAATGATGGTATTTGTAAGTATCGATTTAAAAGAAAAAGAATGCGATTTCTATTCATTTGCCAACGAATCTCGAGTAGGAACGAAATAAGGTGTCAATACGCATGTAATCACGATTATTATCATCTGAACATTTCTCGACAAGAAACTATTCATCCGACACAAGTAGGTGTTCAAATGAGTACATACATTTGAGAGTTTTATCTCCGGAAAAAATCTCTGCTAATCGAAAAAGTTACATTGACATGTTCTCAAGTGTATTTCTAGTATTTCCGTCTTCGGTCTTCGATGAATCGTAGCTAAATTGTCGGAGAAAATCGAGGAGATAGTGCCAATAAGCAACCTGAATATTATATTTTCGAGTTAGGCTATCAATTATGCTCGTCGAGCGCATGCAAGAGAAAAAAAAACGTCTTTCATCGATCGCGTTCTATTATTTTAATTAAAACAATATCCGAAACAAAGTGCTTTGTTTTTGCCGATGTTAACAAGACCTGAGAATCAATTTCGAGATCTACGTCTTCTGTGTCTTTGTTATTTTTACATTACTTTATTCCGTAGTGACAAAGAGGATTTCTGGTGAAATCCATCGAACACGTAAATGCAATTGTGTGGAAATGTCATTAGTTGATGCCTACGTCATCAATAATTATAGTACATATACAGATCAGACGCTTATTTTTGAAATGTTCTCCCAAGATAACGTCTGTCTATGATTATTATTAGCGCAACGGAGAGTATCAAATCTCACATATGCATATTTTCTTTCTTTTTTCCTGTTTTTTTTTCGGTCGGTATTCTCTTGGTGTTCTAATAAATGATTCTCAAATCCATCAATGCTAAACTACAAGGTCATTCTAATCAGACATAATGCCTAAAGGTAGAATTCTTCTCGAATCTTTCTAGCAGACTATGTCTTTCATGCTATCATTACCCCGTCTGTTAATTCCTAAATTAACTCAATGAATATTTCTGTTATTATTGTTCTAACGCTCAGGAAAACTTTTTTCTCCTTTTTCTTCGTAAGTTCACCATTAGATAGCGTCTTTCCTTCGAAATCAAGACGATCTTATTTTCTATCATCAGCTTAGGTAAATTAAAAGTAGCACGGAATTTTTTTCGATCCAACTAATGCTAAGAATGTAATACGGATAATCAAAATCAACTATGTTCGAGAAAAACAAAACTAACAAGCAAAGGTAAAGCACACCCACAGAAGATGAACACCACGCTCTCCTTACAATTTATTCAATTGAATAGAATGTTAAACATAGTTTGGCATCTGTTCGTTAGTGAATGTCAATTTTAGTTTCACTTGCACTTTCACACTATGATGATTCCGTAAATATGCGCAGCGTAAATTTGTTCATGCGTGTGTTATCTGTCGCTGGTATTTTATTGATGAGGAAAGCTTGTGCTGTAATTATTATTGGAGCTTTACGTCATCTGTTGAACAACATGTAACGATTTCTTACTGACGTCACTCTCGATGTAGGACGACTAGAACTAACGGCAAAGGAAACGAGAGACCTTGTTCGCTCGTCCTGGTGCACGTTAATATATCTTTATATACATATATGCATGTAAGCAAATGGTTTGATTTCTTTCCATTGATGGGTTTACATGTGACGTCGATTGTCCGTCGCACGGTCGACGATGACGTCGCTGAGAAAAGAGAATGAGCGCATCTAAGAAAAGACAACATAGATTATATACATACGACCGCGCGAGTGCTTGCTTAGTCTGTATTCGATTACTGAATGAAGAGATAGTTTTTTTTTAGCCAATAATCATCATTGCAAGAAACAGAACAGAACTATGACGTCAAACTATTGCATTCGTTTTCCTTTCTAATATAATCGTATCTTCATAGGAGACAAAGTGCGTACACAAGAGACACGCCGCGCACATTGCTATTCTTTTTTTACGAGTCAGATTTACTTTATTCACTTATGTTTATGTGCTATTAGGGTGTTCAAACTGATCACGATAGTACAAGTAAAAGTGTCCGTTCACCGCGCACGAGCCCATCGGATCTAGTATCTTCTCTACTACCATCTACGTCCAAAGCAATCGGAACAACGACGGCGCCGAATCCCCATTCCGTAACTCTATCAAGTGACGGCGATAGTACGATGGTAACAACATCGACTCTGATTCCACCTTTCATCGATGGTAAACTACTGTCCTCATCTACGTTGCTACCTCGAAAAGATTCGAATGCATCAAGTTCAGATGCTTTTTCCGAAATATCTCGATCGTTTGGATGCGAAGAAAACTCGACCGATTCACTCTATGGTCTATCGTCAACACCGGCAAAAACCACACCTCAGTCATCACATTATGTGATCAAATGTAATCTAACTCCGAAATCTTCGACATCGAACTCGAATACGTCTTCAACATCGATTCCCTCGACTCTTTCGCCAGTGCCAGTCACACCGCGCGTTAAAGTGACCGTTCAACAAGCCTCGATAACGAAACATTCGTCACAGTTTGATTCTTCGCCTGAATCAGTCCCATCGTCGACATCATCTTTATCGCTTCTCAAAACTCCATTATTAACTACTTTACCGATGTTTTCGTCATCATCGATCATGACGACGAGCACAGCATCAAGTGCACCTGAGTTTTCAATAAGTGGAACATCAAGTATCGATGATTCCGAAGAGTTAGCACTATATGAACAATATTTAACATTGTCTCACGTAAGGCAATCGAATCCGTCGCCGGAGATGCGTAAAAAGACGTTCGAAAATTGGCTTGACGTACAACAAAGAGCTTTACCACGTAGTAAAAGTGAAGTGACAACAACACCAACGGAACAGGCATCATCATCATCATCCTCGTCGTCACATCAACTGCAAACAACAGCAGCAACTAGTCAAATAAGACCGGTAAGCAAATTTTTCTCCTCCACATGACATTTTGTCAGATCATTGCTGGTAACCTTCAAGACTATGTTATTGTCCCATTATTGATGTCACAAATCTGATTGATAGACAGATATCATTAGTTAAAATATTCCAATTGTTTTTAATCGATAGTTTTTGGTTAGGATAACGGCAAAAGTCATTCAGTTCGATGAAAATTAAATACATATTGTTTTCTATTGAATTTGATTGAAAGGAGATCTACATATGTTCTCTTGGAATCAATTTCGATTTGTGTTTCAGAATATCTGACAAATAGAAAACGGAAAAAGAAGATGACGTTGATAAGAATCATGTTATGACTGTCAAGTTATTCCGCTTCATTCTTAGATTGTTTTCAATTGAGACTATGGTATCCCATTTCCGGTCCCTTAAATGATGTAGTAGTTTTTTTTGTTGCTTATTGCCTCAGGGCAAACAACAAGAGAAGAGAGAAAAAGAAAAGAGCGAAGAAAACAACACAATGATGATAATCATTATAAACTATTGCGACGTTCTTCTACGTTGAGTTTGGTGCATGTATTTTATCCCTGCACTTCTCTCTTTCTCCTTTTTTCATATTGACAAAATGTATCAATCGATTACATGTGTCAACTTCCTCAGAGATCGCTCTCTTCTTACTCAAACAACTCGACTTTCCTCTCCTTTCCTTTTCTTTTCGCTTTCTATTCCGTTTTGCTTACTTCTCATCGAGTTTTCATCTAATCGCACACCCCCATAACTTTTTAATTCGCATCGCAGGAAGAACGAGAGAACGTAGTGCAGCATGCCGTTTGTTGTTGTTGTTGTTCTTTTTTTTTATGTATGCGAATGCGAGCGAACGTCTAGTCTTCAACATTATAGTGGTGGTGGTACTTCTTTTTTTTCTTCGTCTCTGACATCGCCGTCGTAGTCGCCGTCATTTTCATACTCAAACAGCTACACATACACCACATAAATGATCAATAGTTAAGAGTTGAATACGAGAGGCAATTGTCGTCGCAGGTCGACGTTTTTCTTTTTGTGTGAACATATTCGCACCTTCTGTCTCATATTGTGTGCTGGAAACACGTTGAAACATTCTTATGTCCTCCCTATTACCTTTCTATCGCGCGCGTTCAGCAACGACAATCAATCAACTTAAACCTTTGCAACATGTACGTTCGCGTAGTCCCGATGATGTTTTACATCGACAGAAGGTAATCTATACGAAAGTCAAGTTCTTGACACTTGATGCATTAGTTTTCTTGTCGGCATCGATGTTTCGTGTTGTTTTTCTTGTAAATTAATCTGTTTGAACAACTCGTAAAGATAATAAGAAACTGATTCTAAGATTTCTCATTCAGCTCCTGAGATGAAAAGAAGAAATCATATCTATAGTCGACATGTTTGCCTTTGTTCTAATAAACATTCATTCTTCTTCTATGGCAGTTCGTCACAAAAACGAGTAGAAATGAATTTCAGGTGAATTATGTGTTACTTTCTTCTCTCAGTTCTTATTCACAGTATTTCAAGACACGCGATCATTTTAGCTTTTTTTTATTTGAGTCATTGAGTAAATAGTAATTCGTGAGAAAACATCCGCTTAAGTACCGTATGTTTAATTTTTTTCTGTATTGAGATGAAATTGTCAAGTATGATTATTTATGATATCGATATTTCACTTAAGTATTGATGATTACAGTTCTATTTGACAAGTAATTCACTCTGATTCATTTGCTTTCGAGTCATGGCTTTACAACAGAAAGATACGATATATTTATATAGTTGATAGAAAACAAGAAATCTATTATTCTCTTGTTTACGGTTAAATCAGGAATATATTCTTTTATTTAGCAAGAATTACTTTGTGATCAATGGAAAAGTATACTCATTTCCGCCTATTATCTGTTCAATTCCATTGTGTGAGTGTAGACTTTCTTTGTGTCGTACTTCGGCGAGGAATGAATCGATTTCATCGACAATGAGTCTTTGAGAATCGCGCGCTAAGCCGAAAGCAAAATGTACAAGACATTTGTACTGTCTAGATATTCTTCTTCCTCTTCTCGTCTGAACAATGAGCAGAGATGAATATATACAGACATTGATAGAAACAGTCAGATAGGGAAAAAGAAAGAAGAAAGGAAACTCAGAATAGATGAACAGTACAGTGACGTCATACGAGTCTTATTACATATGATAGGCAAAAAAGAAATACAGAGACTAGTAATGACGTCGATGCATATGTTTAAGTGTATGTATGTTCAACGTTTCGCTCTCACATTTTCTTTTTCTCCGCCAGATAGCTATAAAAAAATCTAATAGATGCGAGGAGAAGAAACGCAATAGACTATATCGATCACTACAGTCATCATCACTAAAGATTGTTTAGACGAGCATCTTATTCTTCTTCTTCTCATAGATGTATATAGACGATGAAGTAAAACTTGAGTAGAAAAAGTAACGATGAATGATATATACATATTCATGCATCTAAGTTATTTGTTTGTTTCTTTTTCAGGAACTCGCAATATACGTTAGTGAAGACGACGATTCAAACAATCGTGTATCAGCAATAAGTAATTCATCAACGACAGATATGACAAAAAAGAAGAAATCTAAAGCAGCAATAATGTATGGAAATAAGACATGGTTTTGTTTGTGAATTAATGATTGATTGTACCCTCTTCTCTAGAGCAAAAGATTTCAAATCACGTGCGGCTAATTTGATTCGACGTCGTACAACCGAAGCCACTCTGTCCGAAAAAAGTCTCATACCATCACGAGAAGACGTTCAACTATGGGAAGAATCATTCGATGCACTTCTTCGACATCGATGTAAACATTTTCATTTTTGCTTATTAGTATCGTTACTTGTGCGCTGTTTTAGATGGGCAAGCGTTATTCCGTGCATTTCTACGAACAGAATTTAGTGAAGAAAATCTCGAGTTCTGGCTTGCATGTGACGATTTTCGAACTTGTAAAGAGCCGAAACGTTCTGCAAAAGCAAAGAAAATTTACATGGATTTCATTGCTATTGGTGCCCCAAAACAGGTATTCGAGTAAAACTTTGCCAAAACTATCCTCTTAAACATTTGCTTTCAGGTGAATCTTGACACTGAGACTCGCATGTCAACTATAGCAAATATTGATAATCCACCGTTAGAGACATTTGATCGTGCTCAACGACGTATCCAAGGACTAATGGAAAAAGATTCCTATCAACGTTTTCTGAAATCCGAGTTATATATAAATTTGCTACGTCGTACAACTTATCCCGTGCAACGACGAACGACAGCCGAAATATCAAAGTCATCCTGACATGAAACCAAACGGATTTAATCGTTGGGATATCGCTTTGGTTCTTTCTCTCTTCTCTTCCACTATTCTATGATATCGATTGGTACTGGTTTGCCAACATTTCGAAGCCAATCATTTGATTGTCTATACTGACTCTACCCGTGCATCTAGTCAGAAGAGAGCGACAATTTTCTATGTGTTTTCTTACGCAAAAATGACAATGACGAGCCTTGATGGTTCTCGTATCTCAGTGTGCAAAAAAAAACGTTTTTTTTCTCTTATATTTCTTCTCTCACTCACTTTTTTACTAGTGTCGTTATTTTCTTCTTTACCTGTGCGTGTGTATGTATGCATATGAGAACGGAATACGGATGATAAAGAAAAAAAAACTATAGCTGATCAGCAAATATGTGTTTTTATTTTCAATTGATTTCTATGTAAAAAAAATGACTGTATAAAATAGATCTGAAACGCAAAACAGCGCTCTTTTTCTCTTCTGGAATCGACAAGACTCAGTTTTCGTTTGATTGAACAAACATAATAAGAGTATTTTGTTCGTCAACAGAACAAATCCGAAAGTGTAAAGATTAAAGATGAAAGAGAAAGAATCCAGCATGTGATGGCATTCAACTTGAAAAACATTGATTAAAAGACGCCTGACAAGCTTCTTATTGCAATGAGTGTCTCATACTCAGTAATAGGATTATCTGGTCTCGCGCAAAAACATCTGATGAAGCTTAGTTTTTGAACATTTGCAGCGAAATCTTCAAATCTCAAGCGATTCGAGCTGATTTTCCTTTAAGGAAATGACGAATGACTCAACTTCCTGAAAAAATAATCTCCCAAGCCATCGGAAATCGTTAGAAATGAATGATAATTATTCGAATTATAAATATAACTTGCGAGTTGTCTTGAAAATCACTCAACGTAATTTGTCGACAGAAGTCGCTCTTATACCGAATTGTATTGGTTAATGAAATTGCCAATTAAATGTTACCTCACTTCAACGGCTCCAGCAAGGCAACAAGTTTAGTAACAAACATCTGTTTTGTAAAGGAAAAAGGAGAAATTGAATTCAATGCAGTCCTTAATTCGAACAACCATGTCAACAGTCCTTAAACGATCCTTTAACATGACCGATGTGAATTCGACTTTAACCACAACTACTCCTTCGACGCTTGAAGAGATCTCAAATGAAATTATTGATTATTTTGAATCACATCGTGAACAAATTCCACTCCTTGTAGTTGTTTACATCTTAACAATAATCTGGATACTCTATGTAATTCTATACCATTCGCGCATACAAGGCATTGTACTTTCACACATATTACAACGATTCTATTTCAAAGATGCATCACAAATCAAATTTGATTCGTTTTCCGTATCATTTATTTCGGGCAAAATTATGTTTAGAAATTTACATTATGCAACAGGAAGTTATTTCGTTTTTGTAAAGGATGGTTGTTTGATTTTTCGTTATTGGTCGAAAGCGAAGAAAAAACCTGTGATACGCTTACAAATTCATTTGTATCATTTTGATATGCAAATATGTAGTCCAATACGGTCGAATACGTTTGCTGAAGTGAATAATTCAAGTGATGAGTTACACAGAGGATCAATGAACGGGTAAACAAATGAGGAGTTCGAGTTTTTTGGATAAGAAATACTTGGTTTCTCTAAAAGATTATCTGGAAAAGCGGACGATACACAAAGTGTGAACACAACGAAAGGCAACGACGAAAGCAATTTTGTTAACAGTTTACGAAGTCTCTTTCCTTCGGTTGAGATAAAAGTTGAACACGTGAGTTTTTTTAAAATTTATTTCGTTTCCGAATGTTACTACTGATGCATTTTATAGGGAAGAATTTCAGTTGGACATCACACATTGCCGTACGGCTTATCGTTACGTTTCAGTACAATGAACAGTACATTTACGAGTCAATCACCGTCAAGAACTGCGCCGGAAATTGATCTCATGACATTGCTATACAGTCTAACATATCGAAATCTTCAGGTTCAATTGATTCCTGTCAGTGGATATAAAGAAGAAATAAGAGAAATGTAAGCTATGTTCGGAATGTATGAGATTTGGTCGAAATATGCTGTAGAATATTTGAGAACAGGATGAAAACATCTGAGGAATGCGTGAGAAAATAGGACATACAATCTTTGATCTATTGATCTTTTCGATTATTGTCGATTGTATATATGTATATCATAGGCCACCGCCGATTCCAACTACAAAAGGTGCAACAAAAAATGCGGTGCAAATCTTTGAATGCCCGGAAGGCGAACTTGAATACGAACAAGATGTTCCCGGTAAAATGAGCGAGCCATTACAAAATGGTCAAGCAATACCTGATGTTGCTTGGGAAATTCGTATGAAATGTAATAAAAAAACGAAAATTGCCTATGGACCGTGGGCTGATCGACAGAGGTGAGTCAACCTGTTTTTTTTTCTCTCTAAAAGATGTCTCCAATCTTTGTTCTATATCTAGAGAATTATTGTGGCAATATTTTCTTCCTACACTATATGAAGAATCTGCTGTCACACCTGAACCATCGGTTGGTCAAACACGGATATTTCGATCCGTGCGCTTTAAACTATCACTCAACTGTCCAACTGTACTCGATCTTTACTTTATGAATAAAACGGTTTGCAATGAATATTTCTTTTTTCTCTGTTGTATTTCAATGAGAGCTGCATTTTGCTAGAAACTTCAACAACTCCATCTCGAATGTCCTTCAAAAGGATCGTCTTTCGATGCCATACTTCCATTTTCAACTAATCCAGATGGCTTTGATACGTCTCTATCAATCAATATCGGTGAAACAATTGCTCAAACGAATCTTCCATTCACACCATTTCTCCACACAGAAAATATTGAAGTAACAACCTATTTCAACATTCCACAAAGCAGAAATCCGATTTATATTTAGATTAAAGTGCATATTCATTATCCACGCTTGTGGAATTCATTACAAGACTGGATTATTGATATCGATGCCAAAAAAGCTCAAGTTTACTTTGTTTTCGAACATAAGAATTTCTTTCAAGGTAACACTTCTTCTTTTGTCCATTAACATCTAGATTTCTTTTATGTATGACTAGCATTAATTGCTGATTTCGGCTCATCTGTACCACCAGATATCTATTCGTTTACTCCGTTTATTTACAACATCACTTTGCGTGGTGAATTAGTCGAAGTTCTAGTACCATGCAATCAAGGCAATTGGATCGATTGTTCGAATGACAAAGCTGCAGAAAATAGTAAAACGAAAAGATATTCTACTGAAAATTGCTTTTCTCTTCGTTTTTTAGCCTATGTTTCACTATGTGCAAAGTCGCTTGTTTTAACATATCCATTGCCATTTCTCGAATTTTGTCCAGTATCAACTCCGATGGATTTGAACATCGAAGTATGTTTTCAATTTTTTAAGTTGCGCAAAAAATTGGATTTATATAGGTCAATGATGTACTTGCTCGTCTTGTGATACCGGAAAGTAATCGAATGTTTTATATTGTCGAAGGACTCGATGCACACAAACAATTCTACGCACCTGATGGTATTAAATCTCACTTGCCATTATCAGATATTTTCGAAAAACGGTTAGTTCACGAAAACTGGTCTTTCAGATCTCGATCAGTTTAATGATAATGATTGTAGGAATGGATGTTTTGAATGTGGTGAAGTCAATCAAATCAAAATTTTAGTTCAAATTCTACTTCACTCCTCACCGCCAGTTGACATGAATCGAACAGGTAAGAAAAGCAAATACTTTACAGAATGTTGAACTATGGTTTCGATCGGAAGTATAGACCTTTTACATGTGCAACAAATCAAATCTATGGGCAATCGACACACGTTCCATCCAAATAAACTTAAATACGATGTATTCAATCTTGAACTTGATATTGGTCCTGTCAATTTACTTTTGCATGGTTTCTTTTTGAAAAAACTCTGGTGGGTGAAGGTAAGTTTTGGAAATGTGTATCTTTTACCCATTCGATATCATTTGACTTCTCCAGGAAAACTTATTCGGATGGGATCAATCTTTCCATGATATACGCGAACCTGATCTCATAAGGGAGAATAAAATTGTCGTTCATGACGATCCGTTGATAGATATGATCGATGAAAGTCGTCCGTTTGATCCTAGATACTTTCGACCATTAATGGTAACCCTACGAGTTGCACTCCATAATGTAACACTTCATCTTCTTCATGTAATATAAAATTCTAGTGTTTGCTTTCACGTTCGAAAAACAAAGTTCTTGATTTTAGCACACCGAGCATGCGCCGAGTCCCATTGGTTTTTGTGAACGGCTCTGCGTAGAAATGACAACTGATTTGAATGAAACACGATTGCAAGTCTTGTTTTTACCTGTTAATGTCTATGTCGAAGATACGATTGTTGTAAGTAACCGGTGAATCCAAATATGATTGAACTCATTTCCGATTTAGAGAAATAAATCTGATCATCATCTATCAACAGGAAGTCTTCAGTTATCTGGTTTGATTATTCGTGGACACGCGATGCTTTCTCATGAAGGTTTACCACCGGAACGCGAAACACTAGAATACGCCTGGCAAATGGAAATACTTTTAGGAAAGATTTCAGCTCGTTTGACAATGATTCAAGTATGTCGAATACAGTCAACTTTGTTTCTTCAAAATTGAATTTCTTGTTTAATAGATGGAGAAGATTCTCGGTTTTGTGAAAAATTTCTATTTGCAAATTATGGAAGATGAATACACATTAGTCCGTTCGCCGGTCATGGATAAAACTAAATGGATTGAGAAACTGAAATACGATGTTCTTCGATTTAGTTTGGACTCAGTCGATCTAAATCTAATTGAAACTGGAAATGCTATCAACGTGCAAGTATGAACACTCTATTTGATAATCAACACGTGAAAACTATCTCTATGACTTTGTAGGTCACACCAGTTCGTCTTTGTATGTGTAACATGCATACAAGTACATGTAATGAAGGCTTGACTCTCAAAGTGGGT